CGTCGTCGCATGGAATGAATACACACGAGAATAACTGACGGTCATGATTTATCCATATGTACGTGTACTTACAGGCAGGCATATAACTGGCATTCATTACTTGACTATGCAAAATATAACGTTGGTATAATGCTGGTAAGGAGTTACACAGCAAAAGGAAACCAGCACAGTGTACAGTCAGCGAACACGTGATAATCCAGGGTCCAATACAAAAATTAATATTCAAATGAAACCGCACACGCTTTTCATGGAATGTAAATATTAACGACTGAACAGGACATCGAATATTTGTTTGTTCTAATTTGAACGAATCTCTTCCATGTTCCAATGGTGGCATAAAAATACTCCAATAGAATAAATGCAGGTTTTAATTTCATAGAGATGTTATGCAGTCAGTTTCGCCATACAGGTGCCCCACCCCTCTATTTCAGATGTTCGGGGTTTGGGCAGGTTTGAAAATGATAACATTTGTATCCCAGAAAGTGAATCTGATACATTTTTAATTTGCTTCTTTCTGCCTCCTAAAGCACAGGTAGGCCTATTACGGTATTTTGAGTACTTCATGTTTCTAATAAATACCATATCACTGTGAGTCTGAAAATATGAGATTCTGGTGACCTGAAAAGTTCTTGCGGCTTTTCCCTCGCCCTTTGTTGCTTGCTTATTGTAAAGGTCCACTCACATTTGATTAAAGCCAACAAGATTAATATCCCTCATAATTCATTAAAGGTATTCTTTAAAGTTTCAGCCTGAGAGCGGTGGAGTTTTAGTTCAAGCTTCAGTGAATTGGCTGACCTTTGTCATTGTGTGTTGCTCAAGTTTTAATAGTCGACTGCTCGATCGGCTCAGATTGTATCTACCTGGCAGAGTTTGAGCGTACTGTTACTCGTGTTTAACGCTACTATCCTTTTGAGCACACGAATGGCGAGACAAGACGCTCGATCATCGAGTGGTTATTTCAAGAGGGCAAAGTATTGCGAGAGTAATTCATACTATGCAACAATTTCACGTGCCCGTAAAGGCAAGAGCAACCCAACCAAGACGCAAACTGCAACGCAGATATATGGAAACATGTCAAACGGGAAGTATCGCCAATAACCTAGACATAGGCCTCACGCAAACCAGCCCCTGATGGACCGGCATTGCCGACCGTCTGCGTTGAGAAGCGGTGTAGGCCTATACGCTGGCATGACACGCGTACAACGATGCTCTAGTACCACTCATTTTGTCCATTTTCTCCTCATAACTAGCATATGCAGCCCCAATCGTCAACACAATAGCTGATTAACAAATTACATCAAACTGGAGTTTCAGTTTGGCTTCAAGAGGTAACATTGCTACCTTAAAAGGCAAATTCTGCGAAAATTTTCCAAGTTTTGGGCGCCATTTTGTTTTTTCTTTTAGGTGGAATAACGTCGCGCAGCGTCTCTTCTGGGAACGCCTGCGTAAGTTGACGTCTTGTGGACCGTCTGCGTTACAAACTCCAGTATCGATAGAAATGCACGCGATCGGAAACAATTTTTTTATGTTTACTCTTATTTTGATTTGCATCTTGAATTTAGTACAAGTATACAATGGGATTTTAATTTCTCCAATTCTGTTGTATTGTCAACTATTTCCTAACAACCTCCATTGTTTGTATTGCTCTTTGTATATATTTTATTATTTTATTTTTATTTGTTTGTGTCATGCTAACCTCGTTTTTATAAACTTTTGGCTAAGTATTTTTTTCTGTTTTACTTTTCATGTTGAGGTACAGAACTTTGTTTTTTGTGTATTATTACTTTTTCCAAGTCCATTTTCTTAATTGTGCCTTTCTTACTCTAGTACGCTTGGGTTTTTAGTTTAATTGTTTAATTTCTCCATGTTAGTATGTATTTTTCGTTATTGTTTGTGCTGCCTACTCAATTAGTTTTATTCAAGTTTTAGCCTTAATATTGATCTATCTCATTATGTACCCTTTTAAATTTGTGCAACTTTGTAACTGTGTGTCTAGACTTACCATTTTGGCCTTTTTTCCATTTCTTCATGTTTTCCTGTTTTACAGAGTAGTTTTTGTTTATTTGTTATCTTTTCTTATTTTTGATTAACTTTTGACTAACTTTTGTAGATTTTTAATTTTAGTTTCTCTGTTTTATATATTTTCCTGTATGTAATAATTTGTTTTTAATGTTCAGGGCCCTCAGTAATAGCAGTAAGACTTCCTGACGAGAATACCCTGATTGAATAAAACAGTAAATAAAAATGAAATATATAAATGGAATGTTATTCCTCTGTACAGGCGTGTCCGGTTGTTTGCATGGCTACGCCTTGAAGTTATACTCACGAGTCTATTGAGTACCGACTGCAGACATTCCCAATAAACTCATGCGTGATTTTAAGCCATAGCCAAGCAAGTCAGACACGTCCAAAGATCGTTCCAAACGCTGCATGCGGTACTTTGCCATCTGTCGCTGTCAGGTTAGAGGTAAGGGTGCGCCGTGTAAATTCCAACGAGACGTACTGCACATGTAGCAGTCATATTTTGCTACTATCTATATACATGTAGGACCGTACTGGTATGAATACCGTGTGCGGCAGTGAGCACGCTGCAGTTCTTGCACATTCAGTCTTGAAACAAGTCTATAAGTGCGGTCCGGAGCTTTAAATATGTGACGTCATGGATTGTTTTGGTCCATTTAGTCTGGTGCCAGCTAATGTTGTAATGCCTATACAAACAGATGAGTGGTTCCAGACGTACAGATAGGGAGTTTTCGCGGATTTACGATTTCGGCGGTGAATTTCTGACAATTTTACGGTCATTTTTCAAGGAACTTCCAATTGTCATTGACTGGACTTAGTTTCTTCAGGTATAAGAGAGTTAGATTTTATTAATGTATGTTTCTGTCGTTTATGATTTGCGAATAAGACATGATTTGCAATATTTGAGAGGTGAACAAGATGAGTCCGTCTGTTAACATGGTTAAGTTGTATGGTGAGCATCTTTCTAGAATACTGTGTACGGTTTCTCGCCCCTACGTGTTAAAACCATTTGTGTTCTTCCTCCATGCTATAACGACATGTATACTCGTCTGAGCACGGAGCTACGTGTGTAAAACTAGTAAAAAGTAACCTATAAATATTGGTCAAGAACTTACTTGGAAATCAACTTTTTGAGAAAGAAAGGTGATTATTTGATACTTGAGTTGGGAAAAGGAGGTATGAACATCCTTTCTTATGTATGTGACTGCATTAGGTAAAAACACTTTGCATGTTTAAATGTTAAAAAATTCTTTCCATACCTGGGTCAGCCTTGTAGCTTGCAACCTTTATGCTGTATGTCCCAGAATGACTTATATTATGTGCATCATTTGTTTGCAATCAGAAGAATTTCTGATGACTAGCTAAGATGGGACGGATCTTCTTGGATCACATGGGAGGCACACGCCTCTTCTCTTGTGCCAACTGCGACAGCAATCTCACCAACCGGAGGGAGCTCATCTCAACGCGTTTCACTGGTTCCACTGGCCGGGCGTACCTCTTCAACAAGGTGGTCAACCTGTCGTACAGCGACGTGCAGGACCGCATGATGATCACAGGACGGCACATGGTTCGCGACGTTTTCTGCAAAAACTGTGACACCAAGCTGGGCTGGATGTATGAGTTTGCAACAGAGGACAACCAGCGGTACAAAGAGGGACGCATTATCCTGGAGAGAGCGCTCATCATCGAAAGTGACGGCTTTGAGGAACGCGGTGTTGATGGGAATAACTAGATTTCAAAATGATTTACTTTAATATCTGTGCACAGCTAAGGTTAAAGCGTCACAGAGCCAGCAGAATATCGTACAGATTTACCTCATCTCCTTACCTCTACATCTCATTCTGTGACATGTCAAATAGAAAGTCATCATTTTATTCCAGTTGGTAAAAGAATTACCAACATCTGCCTGTATACTGTACTGTTTTAAACAGAGCTGAGCAAAAAGCGCTCTCAGAATTATTCAGATTTTTTTCCCAAAATGTCAAACATTAGTCTGAGCTCAACAATGCGGCACGTCTGATTTTTTCCTTGTGAGGATGTGAAATTTGTTGTTCTGTCTGCAGCTACCTGTAGGCATTGCAGTGTCAAGTCTGTAAAAAACTTGACATTTTTCCAAAATTTTAGCCGGCGATGAACAGTTCCACAGAAGAACAGATGCGTACAAATCAGCCAGTTTGGTATTTCAAAAAGGCAAGGTCAAAGAAAACGTGATGTCGTGCCAGGCGCATCATATGGCTTGATGAACGGCCATGCTGATAGGACCCCCCTTCCTGCATGGATATCAATGTTCTTGAATGTTGACCTACATGTACGGCACTCTTCATTTGGAGCATGCACTGTTGGAATATCAAACAGGCTCATTGTGCCCTGTTGTATACTCTATAGTAGTAAAACATAGCATCCTTTCAGGGAGCTATTTCATATTAAGTATGTGCTCAGGCCCCAAAACTCTTGTGCTTTGACTTCCCAACGTATCGCTTTGATGGTGCAACCCTCATATTTTTGGGGGGGGGAGGGAAGGGAGGAAGGAGAGGATTGTGCAAATTAAGAGCAATTTCATGAAATTTACGCACTAGATCTAAGACTTACGCAACAAATTATGGCATAACTGACGCTGTCATTTTAGGTGGTGTAAGTTGCCCAAACGAAGCAAAAATGAACCATTTGACTAGCTTATCTTTTTTGGTTAAGCCTCATCATTGCTGAACTTAATGAGGCTTATATGAGAAATGTACAACTTTGTTGTAGAAGTTAATGAAAAACTTGTTTGGCTGTGAGAGAACAGCAAGATTTTCTGTCCAGTTCCAATGAAGAAAAGACAAAAACTTTTTCAAAATGTCAGGTGGAGGTGATTAAATGACTGTTTGATGACTATTGTTATATTGGAAATGAACAGCTGTCTTTTGTTCTCGTCCAAGAAATGAAATATTATTGAACATGGCACAGCTATGCAACTTTTGTGAAATCGAACATAAGTATTTTGCATAGCTATGGCAAAGATTTGTGGCGCAAGGCTTACACATGGTTCAAACTTAAGACATGTTTCAGGAAATCAGCTGCAGGAATATCCCATGGCATTTTAATGACCTCAGTTGGTAACCTGAGTTTGATCATCTCTGCTGACTAAAATGTCCATTCTTACTACTAGCTCCAAGAAATCGTCCCCAGTTGCAGATGAAATACATATACTTTATCATAACTTCAAAAAATTAAACACATTAAATTCTCTTTCTCACAATTCATGTCCACTGGTTCATGTACAAAAATGAAGTGGTTTTTGAAAAAGTTGCAACAGAGAATGCTGAAATGTTAAAGTACATGTACGTAGCCAGTAGTACATGATCAGCAAAGTTAAACCAACTGGAACATTTGATCCTAACCCCTGTCGGTGAATCATATACATGTATGTAAAATCAAACTGAAATTGGGACATTAAAAAGTATTAGGTTGATGGAAACCTGATGTTATTACCATAATGAGTGCCAGTTCAAGAGCCATATCTTCAAACTGTAAATATACTGTAAATATTTTCGAAAAATGCAAAAGCATATGTGAGGCATTGTATTTTATGGCAGGGGTTGGCATTCGATGGATACTTACAGAAAAAGAGTTGCAAAAAGGATTTGCTCCTTCATGTAGATCTATTTTAGAGGAATTTCAAATTTTTGTACATGTAGGATTATTTGGGTTTTGGTTTTCTTTGTTCACAATGTAAATGTGAAGCCATACATGTTTGTTTAGGGGTAAATTGTTCTTCAATCAGGAAAAACCTGATTATCCTGTCCCTTTGCAATTTGCTGGGAATATTCCTGAAGCCATCAAAATGCTACAAAACAGTGGTGTGAGTTTGATGGATCAGTGGGCTTGAGTGAAGTTATGATATCAGCTCCCATGAAAAGCAAAGGTGGGTAGCTTGTGTTGTCTGAATCATACAAAATCTTTGATTGGATTTTGATGGATTCAGGCTTGTAGGGCTTATCATATTTTTTGTGGCACAATTTATCAATATCTCCATCAGCCGATTGTGGACGTTGTCAATCTAATTCACAGTCATAGAAGTTTGTTTTGTGGGAAAAGTCATAAAGGATTGTATTTTGGAAGATTTTGAAAAGGTCGAGAGGTAAAGTCTGAGACTCCCAACAGGATGAACCAATTGGCTACACAGGACTGATTGATAGCACAGGACAGATCAACAAATTCCAAACAAAGGCTTTCTCCAGGCCTCAGTTGATTTCATACTTGGACTTGGATTTTATAATACCACTACAAGGTCCAATGGTGTATGTAAATGCACCCAATGGATTAAGCGCAGTTTTTCTGCATAAACATGGACATCTGTACATGAAGTGCCCTTACAGTATGGTGTAACTATATTGTTTCTCCCCGGTTTTGACATCTCTACCGGGTTCAATAGATGTCAAGTTACACATTACTTGAAAGTACATGTATTCAATGCTGTGTTATTTCTGCTCAAGTTCATTGACCTCACACCACATAACTACAGAAATGAACTGACAGAACTTTACATGTATTTCCACATCACTGCAGAAAAAGTGAAACAGAAACAAAAGCTTGAGCACATATTGTACGTTGTTCAGGCTGCTCATATTCGTATGTATGTAGTTGACAATAGTACATGACGTGTTGCTGAATGTACCACCAATGAGCAATGGATTACGATGAGCAGATACCTTTTAATTTTAAAGGTGCATATATATTCTTCTCTGAAAAGTAATATGCAAATGGTATGTGTACTTTGAAATTCTGCCCTGACTTGGTCAGAGTTCAAGGCGTACGTTGTTCAGGCTGCTCATATTCACTGGAAAAATGCATACCAGTAAGTTACTTTTCATTTCCATTTGTTTCAAGGACAGCTTGCACAGGTGTAGTGTCAAATCAAATGAAAGCAATGGAATCTTTGTATAATCTGGCAGTTTACTTGTTTGGGGCTAAAGATGTTGATTACAACATGGGTTGCAATGTAAATATTGTGTATACAAGTTTGGAAGTAAAATATTTGATGAATTTTGACCAGGTGCTTTGCCAAATTCAAATTGTTTGATTCCCCTTTCTGAATATATTCCTTTAGCAAACACTTTGCTGTTTGCAATAGGATGTGCAAAATATTTAAAAGATCAGTATTTTGATATCTGCTTCACCAAAAGATTCAGTTTTAAATTTTAACCCCAACTCCAAGTCAGTTTTGTGAGGACGATTTCTGGATTATTCTTAATCCAACTCATCAGGATTTAATTGGTTTTTTCTTTATAGCAATAGAAAATTGGGACGCTAGGCCATATGTTAAATAAATAGGTCAGCCATACTAGTCCTGAGTGCCTGAAAATCTTTCAAAACAGCAAGAGATGTTGTTGGTTTTGAATAATTTATCATAAAATGCAAAGCCAATTATTTATTATTCGCAGATGACCACCACTCCTACAGTCAGTTTTATACTGCTGGATCAGCACATGCATACGTGTACAGCTGCATCTATGTAGTACCAGTGTACTGGTACAGAATTGTGCTTGTGTATGGGAAAACCCATACTAAATGGGAGGCTGTGTGTTCATGTTTGTGCTGTGAAAAAGGATAGTTAATACGACTGGTGGACTTGCATGTCAAGGTGTCAAGAAAACTCGTAAACCCATCTATAGAAAACAAACTGGATAATGCAATATGTGTTCGCAGAATTGTCATCAGTATACCCTGTACTGGGAAACCAAATGTTTCTTTGTTTTGTTTAATTAGCTGGGAAGAGGCAGCCTGAAGGATTTGAATGGACTTAATTTTAATATGGATGCATATACTGTATCTCAAGATAAATTTGAAGTTTCCACTTTATGTATAATTCAGACATTGTTTCACGCATGTTCAGGGAGGACAAGTTTTCAAACTTCACTGATGACAAAATGTGTATACATGTATCATTGTTATTAGTTCAAAGTTATTTTACTTCTTTTGTAAAACATGCATTAGTTTTGGATGCATGGAATTGTTCTGTAGTGTAGGTTTTCCCGGCCAATTTCTGCAAGAATGCAACTTGCATTCCAACTTACATGTTTTTCTTCTTTCTTTATATTGGAGTTCCGTTTCAGTTATTACTGTAAATTTCTTTTCATGCAAACAAGTATGCTTTTTGGTCGTTAAATTCCATTTGCAGGCATTCAAGACTCCATTGCAACCAGTCATTAATTCAATTTCCTACTGACTTTTATTAGTTGGTGCAATCAAATAATGGAGACTCATTGAAATAAAAGGGTTTGTCTGCACGGCAAGTCAGTCAACATTTAAATGTTGAATTTAGATTTGACATAGCTTATTTGACTGTGTTGCAGCTTTTATTGCAAGTGCTTTGTGTGATATACTGTACTTTCTACAACAATCGTTGCTATAGTTGGAATAAATTTTTTTGTATCATTACTTTGACATTATCGGTGTAAGGCTGTCCTAAACTGAGATATGAAATCAGAGCAGACTATTTTTTGTGATTGTGTACAGGTATTGCAGTATTAAGTATGAAAAGTAAAGGTGGTTTGTTGAAACAAAAGCAGGGTTAACATTTCTGCATGAAAACAAAGTTTACTTTTGTTCTGCTGTGCATTTGTATTCAGCAGTCTGTTTTGCTTTCCTTGAAAAGCCACTTTTGGAAGAGCAGATATGTACACATCAGGCAGCACTTGCTAAGGAAACCAATTTGAATAGATGCATATTGAAAGTGTGAAAAGTAAGTTCTTTCTGAACCTTTTCCCAAGGCTTTTGATGAATTTGAATGAAAGAAATGACTGTTTCCATTCAAATAAACTTGTTTGTGGAAAGACCCCCCATGAAGGACTTTCTGATGTTTGAATGCTGATATGAAGGCCATTCATTTCAAATGAGTTTTGAATGGGCCCATTCCACTATTAAACTGAACAATTTTTTTCTTCATGAAAGTGGCCGCACAACCTACGGTTCATGTATCACCCTTGAATTTCTGTCAAACGTTGTTAAACTTTGTACAGTAAATTAGTGGAGAAAGTATTTTTCTATGTAATTAATTAAACATACAACTGAAGACCATGCTGTCTTGTGTAAGATGTTAGCATTTACTTCTGTTTGCAGAATAAAAACAGCCCAAAACTGTAACTGTCTGTGTAGCCTGCTGAGGTTTTGCATTACAAAGAATTGGAGGTATTGCATTGTCAAATATTGATTGTTCCCAGCATGTCAACCTTACATATGGTTAATTTGCTTAAAACTGCAATAATGGGACCAATGCTTTGTAATGGTAGGGAAATCCTTAGTTTTGGGTTATTTATGTTGATATTAATTTCTGCATTCTTCGGGCAGATTGATCATTCTACGGGCAGATTGGTCATTCTACAGGCAGATTGGTCATTCTATGGGCAGATTGGTCATTCTATGGGCAGATTGGTCATTCTATGGGCAGATTGGTCATTCTATGGGCAGATTGGTCACTCTACGGGCAGATTGGTCATTCTACGGGCAGATTGGACATTCTACAGGTAGATTGGTCAGCAGATTGGTCATTCCACGGAGACACCTTTTCGTCACTGCTGTCTTTGCACAAAATTGAACAGTTTTCTTTTATTGTGGTCCAAGTACATGCACGTAAAATAGTGACTAGCTCTTTGTCGAATATATTTTTGATTTGCAAAGTTTGAACAGCAAAAACGTCCAAAGATGTCCAGAGAAACAGAAATTTAATAACTGAAAGAAGTGCATTTTTCAATCCTTCTTATCAAGTAGTTTTCATACATTTACAAGTACAGAGGTGGATAGCATGTGCAAGAAAGTTTATTTAAAAACTACATTCAGCAATGTTACTGAAGGCAGCAAGTTTATAATCTTGAGAGATGCAAGTTAAAATTAACGCATTTCAAGAACTTCTGCACATTGAAGAATCGAAGTAGTTAATGATCTTGTGTCCGACAAAAGAAAACCTGGTCTTTAATAATGTTCCTGGAAACATCTTTTCGACTGAATATGTTCCAAATTTGGCCATACACAGAATTTACAGACACTTCAAATTACATGTACCGTCACAAGTGGATAATTGTGTGTTGTTGACAATTCGGTGAACCTTCATCTACGTGTACATGTACGGAAACAGATCTTGGACATTGGACAAGATATTTTAGTTTCAATCCAAGATCACTTCTAACATGAAAATAAAGTAACATTTCTCTCCACATTCCTCTGAATTGTGCATGATACAAAATAAATCGATACAACCATCTTTGTTGTGCACTGAGCCATGTAACTACACATAATGCTAAACAGCATTTTATTGAATTTCATTAATTTGTGTTGGATGAATGACTCTTTTAACAATCGCAATTCACATAAACATACAGTAGTGATAACTGTACACAAATTGCATATCACAGAAATTTGAAACAAATTTAACGCTTCGTTCGGAGCAAAATATCTGAAAAAATTCATCCAGTCCTGTTGAAGACGTGGGTGCACTCATCAGATCTCGTGTTACCACACCTGCTGTTCACTTTCACGTGCACTCTTTATGACGTGATCAATGAGTAGCACATTTATCATTACTGCTAGCACATACTAACTAGACATCCCAAGGGCAGTCTGCCATGTCGAATACAGGGCTAGACTAACCATCTGTTGCCTTCACTAGGCCCCTCCCTTCAGTGGCTCATATTAGACCCACACAGGGTTAATAATAATTACTGCTCATATTACAGCGCTTCGTTATTGCTGTTGTCGCCAAGTACACTCGTCTGAATTCACTGCCAGCCCATCACAAGTCATCCAATCTTGGGCTACATGTATGTCACAAACTATGCAAAGGAACTGTGATGAAAGCATTCCTCGGTCATCGCTCCTCCCGTTACTTATGACGGGTTGCAAGAATGGACTTGACATGTAATGGAGTCAAGTACATCTACAACAGTGCTTTATCAGATAATTACCCCATCCCTTTGCACCGAGTACACGTATCACCCCTGCTCACTGGGCCATGATATCAGTTTTTGCAGCGGCTCAATATCGCAGTGTAATCTCTTCCCTCCCATGTACAAGCCAAAGCACAAAGGACCACGGTACCTGTGGCCTTTTGTGGGATTGTTGGAACCCTTCACACCACTGCATGCGAGTCAAAAAAAGAGAGCCACAGGGTCACAGGTTTCCTCTGCCTGTTCACACGTCAGTTCACAAAATCTGAAAATAAACTATTAATGAATGATAAATTTGGAGTCATCAGAAACTCATTTACATGCATTACAAATGGGAAGGGTATAGACCTTGTGTGCTGTAGGTAACAGTGTGTGATTCACTGGAGATAGTCAGTTCACTAAGTACACATCATATGCTCTCACTTGATCAAGCAGGATACCGTTGCAGTCACAAAGTACTATGAGAAAAATAATCTGGCAGCCAAAGTATGGTCACAAGATCTGAAACAGAACAGGAGTAACCTTCACAGACATTCTCTGGGGAGATGCTCAAGCAGATAGCATGGAAGAACTGAAGACTCAAGGACCCTGAAGAAAGAGTTCCATCTAGCAAACTTCCTGTACAAAAAACGTTTGTCTGCAGAAACCCTGATAATAATAGGCACTCAATCCAAGATTTACTCCTCAGCACCGTTTCCTTCTTTATTTCCTCGCATTACAGTACACTGTTCTGGCTACTTGTTAGAAAACTCCAACACTATTACCAGTGTTCTCCAAATATGGTGGGTACTGAGGGTTCAGGGCCCACTCTGAGACCTCCGCATTTTTAAGAGTTCCACTCTTGTTCATTTAGGGGCATCTAAGATGCAGATTTATTTCATAAAAATTGAGAGCAATTTCAAGTGTTGATCACAGGCAGTTTTTTCATCAAGATATTGTTATGTTAGAGATGACATATTCCAGAATGTAAATGCAGTACCCAAAATGTCAAACTTGATGGCAAGATTTAAAGTTTGGTGGCTTAACTTTTAAGATGGTGGAAGACAAGCAAACTTGACGGGGCCACCAGGCTGCTTCTGTAGATTGGAGCACATTGCTGCCACATTTTGGAGTTTCATGCTAAAGACAGTGGAGCTGGGGTTAAATGCTGAGCACATATCCTGAGACGACTGTCCTCACGGTGTGACATCCTCAAGAGAAGAACTCCCTGTCGATACCAAGTTTCTTGAGTTCCTTGTGTCCCTCCAGGGACAGGTACCTGATCTCACATGAGGGTAATGCAGTACCAACGGTTTTCAGGACACTGTCTATGTCCTTGACAGCTGGCAGGTCGCATAAGAAAAGATATTTGAGTTTTCTGAAAAAAAAAAGAAAGAGGACTGTTATTCCCTGACTATGATATGAAACCCTGTCACATAGAGAAAAAAAGTTAGATTTTAAGAAAACACACCAACTTAAAATCTGAAATCTGTCAGCTCATAACTTAAAGATGCTGAGCCTTCTGAGTAAAAAGAAACGAAACCAGCTCTGGAAAGTGCTCAGTTTTATTCCGTGGTATGAACACGTAAGATACAAATTCAAGTCTTCACAATATGATTTAGAAGCTCAAGAATAGTCAAACCTCCATGGTCATATCGAGCTGAAAAGGAAATCCTCAAATCGTACACTCAAGGAAAAAAGAAATGCACCACTGACATTTTTTTTAGTTTTAGCCCCAATTTTGTGAAATCAAATGTATGTGTTAGAATCCCACATATAGGTCCTTCACATTTTAGCCCAGTAACCTAATCTTTGTTTCATTTTTAACAACAAAAGCAAAACAAGTTAGCACCACTGCTCACAAAAGTGGCATTTACAGTTCAACCTCCATTTGCGTCAAGACAAGCTGTAATTGGTTGCCTCTTGTATCGCCTGTAATGCCGCAGCTGGTCCTGTGGGATAGCAGCCCCTCTTCCTCCGGTGAGCAGTGCCTCCCTCAGCTGCTCTTGTGTCTCTGAGGGATGATCTCATTGTTGGATGTGACAACTGAGCAAGTCCCACACATTCTCGATGGGGTTCCAATCCGGACTAAGAGCTGGCCGCGGCAACCTCTCAACACTGTTCTCCTCCAGGGAGTCGGCCCACACACGAGCCACATACATGTAGGAACGGGCATTGTCCTGCTGGAGCACAGCATGACCCCCAACTTGGTCCAGTAAGGGCAGTACAATTGGGTCCAGGATCTCGTTGCAGTAGTGGGCAGCATTGAGGTTTCCTTTGATGGTGTCTCCTGTACACCCGCTCCCTGCCATGGGCCCTGAAGCACTGGAACCTCTTCTCGTCACTGAAGACCACCTGTGACCATCTCTGCAATGTCCAGCATCGGTGTGCTGTGCACTAATGGACCTGAGCCTGGCCATGTCAGCACTGAGCCCACGTACGGTCGATATGGTCTGATCCCATCAGCCCGGAGACGATTCCTAACGGTTCTTGCACTCACTTTCCTATTGTGTGTCCCTATGGTCTCAGCGGCAGTGCATGTAGCTTGGCATGGTCTTGCACAGCAGTTTTGACCCACACCCTGCCAGCTCGGGGACGATCTGCAGAGGTGCCGGTAGTGTTGTAGCGCTGTTCAAGACACACAATCATTGAGTGGTGGACCCCGAACAGCCTGGCGACTGCCTGTCGGTTCCTTCTGGCCTGGAGCGTGCCAGTGACTCTGTCTCTCTCAGGTTGCGACAGTCGTGGCATCTTGGATACAAGTGTTTTTGGCATCATTTTGGTGTTTTTATGAGTAAGGGTTGTGTTCAGGACATGAATGGCCAAATGCATATCTTGGAGTCACTCATGTGTTACCATTAGCATAAAATGCAAAAACACAGTTTTTGGCATTCACCCAAATCACTCAACCGGAACATGCTAAATACACATCAACGTTAATCTCTAAAATGCTCAAAATCTAGAACATGCATCATTTTTACAATGCCGGTCCTACTTCCTAAAAATATGAAAATTTTTACGGGGTGCATTTTTTTTCTCCTTCAGTATAGATATCTGTAAAAAAAATTGATAAAACGCACTGTAATTTGTGTAAGGAAACTAGCCCAGTGTCTGAAATATCTCCACAGCTGCTAACTTGCAACTCCTCCAAGGAATCTTGAAGAATGTCCAGTTTGGAGAGACAAAGGTCTCGCAGGTAAGTACAGTGGTGCAGCTTGAGTGACCGTAGGTGGTCCAGACCAACTGTCGGAAAACAAGAAATTCATAAAAAATTACCTACATTTGAATTTGAAATTCTGAAAGAGTGAAAGATTTAACTGATGAAAAGTTAATTAAAGATTAATTATTATGTTGGCCAGATGTTTTACAATTATGTCCACAAGTACAATTTCCTCAGGAAATTTGTGGGATATTTTGTTCATACAATTCAAAAAAAGTAAACAGCCGAGAAAGCAGACTGCTATAGGTGTATCTGAATCCATCCGGTAAACTGTCCAAAGACCAAACAACCTCTTCTCATGACGCTGTCAGACTTAATAAGATCCAACGCTGACACTTTTCAATGGGACAAACTAATCTAATTGTCTTGGAATCAACAGTTTCGCTGCAACCTTGAATTCTCAGCTGAACAATTCCCAAAGACCTGTATTCCTGCCACATCTTGCCATTAGGTTGAGCAGGACAGGCCTCATACACAATGTAGGGGGCATCAAGGTTCAGTTGTTGGGAAAAAAACACAGTCAGCAGGACAAGTTTTCAAAATTCCAACATGGAGGCTTTTGTGTCCTTAGGCAAGGTATGTTGCTTCAATACCTTCTCTACAGCAAGGATTTTGGGAAAGAGGGCAGAACAATTGATTATAAAGACACACAACCTGGCAATACAAAAAGAGACACTCCATGATTCACTGCCCAACGTGGTTGGTTTCAGAAGCACTCAATGCACGTAAAAATCACTGTAGTTGACTGTAGTTTTGTCCATCGAAAGTCTGTTCACAAAGCCCTCCACAAGACCAGCCACAAATGATAAGGAGATTGATAAATGAGAGTCTCCCACAGTACATAAAATACAAGCCCCTTGACTTGCCAGAGGATGACTTGTGATGGACCTGTGCAGGACTTGTGGGGACTTCTGGCTTTGATTCTGTCAAAGTTCAAACACATGATAACACTCACTGAAATAATCAAAACCAATGTTCATGATACAGGAATCGGTAGCATCAACCTCTTCAATGAAGAACCTTCCCCTGGGTCCCCTGGGCAGGAGGTTGTAATCGGTGCTCCAGTCCTTCATATTCTTGAATTTAACGACAGCTCCACATCGCACCAGCCATTCGGCAGCTGCCTGGTCTGGCCCTAGTTCCTTGATTCTTGCATAGTCAACCCTTGAGGAAAATTCAACAATAAATCACATTTATTGATTTATAAAATGGGCAAATTCTACAGAAAAAAAATCAGAACACATTTGGTTCTCTGCAAAAACTTGGAAACGTTTTAACACATATAAATAAATGGGACCTGTCACCACAAAATGAGCTGAAAGTTTTAAGTTCCGAGATATTGGTATTTTTTAATTCAGTAGAAAGAGAGCTTTCCAATGGTATGTGCATGGAGTACTCAGGGTCAAAGTATAAGGTGACAATGTGATATTATTCTGGCAGCTTTGCATATTCGTTTCCGAAATTGTTCCAACATTTTTGACCGGGTATGAATAATGCTATCATCAAAATTGTTGAGAAAATGACACTTTTAATTATCTGACCCTGTGAACAATTTGGAATGAAATAGACGGGTTATTCTTTCAAAATAATACAAAATGCAAAAACTGATCTCCACTTCAATATTTGACTGTGAACCCTCAAAACAGGAAAGGGCAGAATACGACATTTTGTCATGACAGGTCACAAATATCAAATAAGATAATAAACTAAACTCTGTCAAGATTCGTGTTTCCCATTGAGGCTGTGGCACTGACACTATGGAACCCTGAAAAAAAATCATAGTAGAATGAATAACAATCACAGTTCATGGTTTAATCAGTTTCAATTCTATAAAATAGATAACCTTTGTGCTTCATACTATTTTTAGTGAGTCACTGATAAAGTTCAACCATCTTCACGGTGATTTGTCTACTGTCCTATGTAAAGTGGCCAAATTTTTATTTAGTTTTGTCACTTATTAATTTTTTCTTTTATTCAGATTCTAGTTAATTAATCAATCATACTTGTTGAATACTGCATTTAACATTCCCCATAGGCTCCGGGCGTTCAGATGAGACCAGTAGCATCCAGACCACACTCTGTGTTTTCTCTGCACAAAGCCTCTTTTCTACATAAGATGGCAAATAAGAATGAAACCAGGTCAGTTTAAAAAACGGACAAATACAATATTTATCCACTGGCCAATTCTAGCCATCCAAGAAATTCAGCCTGTGGGAAAATGTCACCTTTTGATGACATTTGGTTTTAATCAACTAGTTTCTACAGAGAGTTTGGCCATTAAAATATACACCGATCACCACAGCATTTTGTGAGAGAAAAATCCATACCATTTGAATCTTTGGGGTCTACTGGAAAAATTCCCAATTAACATTAGATCCTGGGCACAGCTCAGATTGAGCCAATTGCAATTTCATATTTCATTCCTGGAAATTTCATGAAATGCCATTTTTTATTCTCTTAAATCCCCAGATGGATGCTCAGTCAAATACCTCTTGATCTGGTTTTCGCCACCTCCTGAAAACGCTTAACAAGCTAAGCTGAACACCCCCATGCACCTCCCCCCGGCCCCGCAGTGGCAGCTGGGCCCCCGGGGTGCTTCTATCCTTTTTCAAAGCTCCATGGTTCACTAGACGCTTGACATTGACGCAGGCACCCGATCCATAAAATCTTATTTGGTTTTTGCAGTTTATACGGTTATGATTATCGCTACAAAAACCACTCGGGAATAACATTTCTCCATACATTCTATCACTTTTCCATTTCACAGAGCTGCATTTTAAGATTTCAGACAGTTATCTAAGCATGTATCTGAAATACTTTGCTACTCACTAGGACGGCCGCCATCGCTGTACTAACTCAGGGCAGGGACTAATTCATGGAGGAAGTCTAACCAACATTGAACTAAAAGGGAGGGTGTCCAGTCTCGCTGGTCTGATCATGTTGCGACAACAAATTGAAGTCTTTACAATTTATGCAATGTTTAACATTTCAGAGAAATACGAATAGCATAAAATACCTTGCATACATTAAATCAGAAAATCAATTACAAGCCTATGATGAGATGTGCTGGTGTTAGATTTGGCTGCGATAATAGATGACCCCCTAATCCTGTCATGAAGCGTTCCAGAAGTTTGTTTGCCCAACAAAGTGACTTGATTGTAACCTGAAGCAGACACCATTTATTCAGAAGGATAACAGCATTTTGAAAATAAATAGCGCGGTAAATTTGTGCTTTGTTACATATACTGTATTACAACTTGAGCTACTAAGTAAGTGGGTCCTTTTCCAAGTTAAAGATTCTACTAATCACACACACCCCCTTATTACCAAATACAGCCGGATATCATAGACCCATGGACCATTAAATAGTCTGGTACTACTGCTTTGCTGTATGTTTGTGATTCCTTAATTTAAGTTACCAGACACACGATAACCTCTGATGTGTGATGGCCTGTGTCATCACCTGATGAAAACTGTCCCTTTTTGTCTTTCACCTTGCGTATGGAGTTGACTAACGGAGTGAAACCACGGTAGATAGTGATATATTGGAGCTAGGTAAATCAGCTATGAGCGGTTGTTCAGTTACCACGTCATTTTGCGTCCGATCATGGAGACATGTTGCTTCATCAAGTTCATGTTTACTCTCCTGGCGCGCCTAGTCCTTTCTATCGCCCGACCGGGGATTGTATATTTGCCCGGGGACCCTGCAGGCCCTGCTCCTATTATAGAGGGGAGAGCTACATTCAATTAGCCTATGTGGTTTCCGTTAAAAACTGAATTGGATTACAGAAAAATTGACACCCCCTTTTAATTGTATGTTATTATCAAGCTTGGCCTTAAAACATAACAGAGTAACTACATGTATGGAATATAGCCTTCCAGGGCCATGTGAAGCAAAATTATTAAAAAAAAGTTCTTAGAGACAGTCAAGTGTACATGTACATGTCACAGATGGTGTTGAGGAAAACTTGACATGATATGTATACCCAAATTGATTTTTACTGTAGTTTCATCCACACGGAGTCGAGTAAGTGAACTGGAGTGGAACATTCTGATGGATGCACACGTGTATTAAAATACACATGTACGAACATTCACAACTTTTTAACTTGGGATACACTCGGAGAAACAATGAGGAGTAGGAGGAGTTGAGACTTTCACCCGTCATGTCATCATCGGAGAAACAAGTGACCGAACACCTGTACAAGGTGCTGGTTATCGGCGAGTTTGGAGTTGGTCAGTATTAACAGTTCTTGATATATAACGGGTTTTGCCCTTACCCAACGTATCTGTTATTAATAAACACTGTATGCTGAATGCTTGTCCGAGAGCTTGCCAAAAAGTCACTAGCTTACTCGGGTGGGATAGTTCTTGAGACACCCTTATGTTATGATTTCCTACAGACACGTAAATGATGACCCCTGTCAGGAAAATGACTCCCAAGAAAGACTCTTATCTACTGTCAATAGAAACCCTTGTCTTTTTTTATCCATGTGGTGTCAGTATTCATCAGGATGCCAGTGATACCTCCAAGCAGAGAGCTTGTTTTTCTCTTTCTAACACAAACTAAAACTCCAAAGTGGCCCTGTTGACTCCTGACTCATTTTTACAGAACGGGTCGCATGCTCTTACAGTTTATTGCAGTTATGATTGAGCAGATATTTAACATGTTTTCCTTTTAATGCGAATTGCAACTTTTTTTTTTTAAACTCAGGTCCCAAAATGCAATTGAATCAATACTAGTGAGCTGTTTCCAGAAATCAGTCTTAGGGCTGAATTGTATAATTTGTTAGCCTTTTGTATTGGCTTCCAGTGGTATGTCAGCAAAAACTGGTCCTCAAAAAAGTTGCTATGCCATTGAAAAGCCAGTTGTGGTAAATATTCAACCACTCAGGTCAACAATTTCAACTGTAAGCAAAGAAAAAGAAAAGAGAATCATGGTTTCAAAGATGGATTTGTGCCGGGGAGATTTAAATTAATTTTAAAATTTGTAAATAAATTTTTTGCCCCACCCGACGTGTATTTCAACACTGTATACTCAGTGTATGCCCCCAAGGCTTGTGAAAAAACCACAAGCGTAATCGGGTGGGACTCAAACCCACGACCTCCTGCTTACTAGTACAGACGTCTTAACACTTGACCACCAAGCTTGCCTGTGTCGGCTGGCTGGTTCGAATCAGATGTAGTAGTGGGTACCACGAACAACTAACTATTTCAAAGATAAATTTGCGCCGGGGAGATGTAAATTTATATATAACAGGTTTTGCCCTTACCCAACGTATATTAATAAGCACTGTATGCTCAGTGCTTGTCAGAGAGCTTGCGAAAAAAAACCTCACAAGCTGTAAACCTCACGAGATGTAAATTGTAAGATCATGGTTATGGTCAAGTGATCACATTAAATGTAAGAATTTTTAGTCTTTGGAACTCCAAGCACATATACTCCACATGGCATTGATGTGATCTGGCAAATTTAAGGTAGAGTAATAAACATTGCCAATTTGTTTTCACATTTGATTTAATCAATTGTTATATAATGTTATACCAACCAAATGCAGTGTAATTTTTTTCTCTGTTTCTTGTCTTTACTGCAGGTAAGGTATGTATATTTCAAATGCGATGGTATTCATCAGCCTCTGTCCATGCAGTTTCATCAAAGAAGAACAGCAATTTTAAGGTTTAAGTTTAAGATTTTAAGGTAAGGTTATCGTGTGGAAGGAGGGGGGGGGGTATGTCATAAGTGAAATGACCCACAAATGTGTGTTATTTTAAAGATTGAATAGTTATTCTATTGTCTAGCAGTGTTGTATTTGAGCCCATCACAAGTCCCTGCAAGTCCCTGTATGTCCATCATAAGTTATTCAGTCTTAAGCTGAGTCACAGTCTAAAGAGTCAGTGGCTAACTTTATTTTTCTGTGGTCATTCATTGATCTGTAAAAACATGTACATGGCAGTAAGCCAATCAGCTTATGTTTCTTGAAATTGCTTACAACGAGCCAATGTTGGGTTTACAGTTCGAACACAAAACCCTGTACACTGAGCACCCAGAAAATGTCACTGCCTAGACCATTCAAATGGTCATTGTTGTATTTTGGACATTCAACGGTGCTATTCTAAAGTTTGTATTCATGGTTAATCTTTAAATGTTTTCTGAACAGTGTTTGTTTGGTTATAAACTGACACTGATAAGTTTATATTAGTCGCTGTGAAAGAAGTGTTACTTTTATCTTTCCAGACATCAATCATAAGAAGATATACAGAGGGTAAGACACATCAGCAGTTTTCCATTTGAAGTAAAAGTTGCATTAGATGTTCACGAGTCATGACTATTTTTTTCTGCGAGAAAACTTCCGCATTTCATCCCAACTCTATTGTATATCTTTTTTGTTGTAGGTGATGTACGTAATATGCCATGTTTTGTTGAAACAGATATAAAAGGACATGAAGCTTGTTCGGGTGATGATATAGCTGTCGGCTTTCTGTGTGCTTTAGTTTGCAACATTATCCCAATCCGTGACTTTTGCTCAGTTGGAGTAGATGCATGTTGAGGTAGCATTGGTTTAAATTTGATGGCAAGGAAACGGGTTGATTGTGTTTTGGACATTTAACAGATAGGTTTTCACCAAACTACAAGCTGACGATTGGCGTCGATTTTGCCCTGAAACCTATTGATTGGGACAACACGAAAAGAATAAACCTACAGCTGTGGTAAGCTGCTGGTTGGATAATTCTGATTAACATAAGATATGAGAGTCATCTTAGAATATCAAGAACACATGTTTTCTTAAATGTATGACATCAGTCATAATAAGTAGAAATGTAGGAAAACAAAAACTAATGCTCCAAATGAGTCTAACTGTTACATTTCAGTTCCAGTTTGTTGCAATTCCCATTGTTATCAGTGTTTGATTTTCCAATCATATCAAACACCTTCTACAAGTTTTGGTCTTTTCAAAGTAAAAGGATAGTTCAGTTACATGAAACAACCGTCCTTTGTATTTCATTGAAACTACAGGGATATTGCCGGCCATGAAAGATTTGGTCACATGACAAGAGTGTACTATAAATATGCGTAAGTAATTCCATATCATCTGTGAAAAGTAACATCCAACTTGTCAAGCTATAACCTCGGCCAAATCTAGCTGGTTCCCTTCCCTGGTACCTTGCACAATGTCGTTTCTCATTGTGTGGTCTGTACATGTACTCCAGCTGAAGATAACAACATTGACTGGTGACGGTATGCTAATGATGATGTAACCCATTGACTGGTGACGGTACGCTAATGATGATGTAACCCATTGACTGGTGACGGTATGCTAATGATGATGTAACCCAACCGTTTTGGCCAGGATTGTTTGAATTTGTCTATAATTCAGTATGTGGATGACACACCATTTGGGGCAGTTTTCTTACGTTTTTCTTTGGATAACAAAGTTGCAGCTTAAGGTTGAATAAAAGAATTTACATGTAGGACATATCCTGAACTAAGTAACTTTGTACTCTGTACTCAGGGTACGTATATCGTGTCTGAAGGTGACTACGTAAATGACGTGTAAGAAAAGAGATCAGCTTCTACAGTAAAGGCAAATTGATTTCCCTGCTGAATTTCTTGTTTCCAATTGTTCTCCTTTCTGCAGGATTGCTGCTGTTATAGTCTTTGACTTATCAAGGTATGATAGAACTCAAATCAGTTGGTGGTCCAAATTGTTTGCATGGTCATGAGGTTTAACCTCTTCTTTATGTAAAGGTTTTCATACCGAGGAAACATCACTGCCCTCCCAAAATTGACACATTGTTGTTTTCTGTATTTTTTCATTGTATTTCAAAGTCAGTCATTTGTTACGAAATTAGAGTTTGTAATGTGCTTGTCTTTTTCAGACCAGCCACATTTGACTCGGTCCTAAAGGTAAGATGTTTGTAGTTTTGGTCTTTCCTCTAGAGATAATTCCGTGTCAGGTTTCCTTACTTCAATATTAAAAGCCCTTTTTTGAAGATGAAGGTGAATATTTTTGTCAATTTTAATTGTTTTTTGTGTTGTTACCAGACAATAAAAAATGTAAAATTTTTCTTTTGTAGTGGTACTCTGACGTGAATCAGAAAGTGATGCTTGCCAATGAACAACCGGTGCCTGTCCTCCTCTTAGCAAATAAGGTATCGAATCACTTCATTTTTGGCAGTTATTGTGGTTTTACAGACAGCATGTTATCTTGGCCGTTTTCCAATACTCAACTTCGTCTCCGTCTCGGGATTCGTGTAGGAAACCAATCCCTGATTGTGGGCCTGAAGTGTTTAACTTAAATTGAAGTACTGTAATGTTTGGCTCTTTTGCATCTTACTTGATGTTTTGTGGCACTATCAGACTTACTATTGCGTTTACAACCTTAAAGTCGGGAAGTAAAAAAAAACAGTTGGAGCCTGAGATGGAGTATTGGAAAACGCCCTTACTCTTCGTTATTTGGAGCTCCATTGGTTTTGGCTTGGCAGATGGGGGCACTGAAGGAGCTCATTCACCAGGCCTGGCCCCCATGGCCATACCACTCTATTTCTTGAGATCCCATAGATGGGGTCAGCAGTCTGCATGTACATGAGGATGGGTCCATTTAGGTCACAACCAGTGGCATATCCGGGGCGGGGAACTCAAAAATTTGCACTAAAACCCTAAAAAAAACAACACCGTGAAATGAAGGCAAGGATGTTGGGACCGTGATAAGGCTTTTGATATGGTTTCTTCCCCAACATCATGTTGAATGAGCCCAAAAGCCACATTCGCTTTTGAATTCCCCCCCCCCCCGAATCAAAATCTGGATACACTCATGTAACTAGCTGCCGGATTCAAACACCCAGCCCAATGTTTGGTACATACAAACCCTAACCAGAAATCCAGAAGGCCTACACCCCAGTAGGAGTGTTGTGCTGAATATACAATACCCTTAGTATATAGTGTCTTTGCATGGACACCAGTCATGGAAGCAGTCTACGTCTTAGTGCATCTTCAGCTATTGTATATATGACTCATGTCTATTGCCGCTGTTTCATCTTAGACTCATTTCAAAGAAAAACAACAGTCATAATACAATTCGTTCTCTGTCATTGTTATGCCTTCTTTCCAAGAATCAAAACTTAGGCTGATGTGAATAAGATTAGGGATTCAAATTCCAAACATTAGACATACTTTTCCCCTGCTTATGGAGTACATTGCTTAACATTTGTAGGTCTGTATACTTGTACGTGTACGATCCATTCTGTTCATATTTGATAGTGCTCAGTTCTTTTTAAATTCGATTTCAGTGTGATCTGGAAGACACAGTGTTAGATGCTAAAATGCTGGAGGATTTTTGCCATAAGCACAACTTCATCGGCTGGTTTGCGACGTCAGCTAAAGACAACATCAACATTGGTATGACTACACTTTTCCTGCCTAGCAAGCAATGTGACAAACGTCATGGGGCTTGAACCCTGTGTATCATGGTGTAGTGTGAATGACAGGCATTGATTTGAGAGAGGGTCCAGACTAGCTTGCGGAGGTTCATGTCAAATATTGACAATGAATGAAAGCTTGAGAGAGAATACACCGTATTCATAGGGAACCAAATTTCAGTCACATTCCCCAAGATGGTGTATTCATTTGAAAACATTAATTTAAAGAACCAGACTTTATTCTAGGATTTTATTCCCACCCTCCAAAATCACCTGATACCATCCATAATTCGGTTTCAAACTGATACAATATGTTCAGGAATACGACTGAAATTGGGCCTTCTGCAAATATGATTAATTGCATCTTATTGCCTTTGTGCTTGGATTGTTGAGGGCGCTATTGGGCCAGCCTCTTCCATGTCATTACGTTAGCTAAGGTACTTTGATTAGACACTGAAACCTAAGGGAAAAGCACTTGTCACTTTTCTTTGCTAAACATACTCTGTGACGAGATAGAAAGGATTACTTGCACTGATGACTGAGCGATGCCATCAGCAGTCAAACTACAAAGCTATGATGGACTCAGTTGCATCATCTCCGTCATGCCTACCAGCATGACCAGAGTTTTGCTAAGTCTAGTTACAAAAAACAGGGTACCAACAACAATGAAAGGATACCACTGTCACAGATCTTAATTTGATGTCTTGTGACTTGACTTAAGGCCAGGTAACTTGTACTGGATTTGACTAGCATACTGGTGCCTTTGCTTCATATTGTGCACGCATTCATCTTAGCCCTTTTTTTTCCACATGTGCTTGGGCAGTATGTCGTGACTTTAATAGATGTTGCAAGGAGGTCAACACCACCATCTGCAGATCTTGCATGAAAGCCATAGCTACGTGTAAAAAAGAAAACTGTATGTGTTGTTCTTTAAAAACTGGTGCATTTAATTTTTTTACGAAACTGTTGCTTGTTTTTTATCTGTGCAGAGGAAGCCATGAGATTTCTGGTTCAGAACATCCTGGAACTGACGGCAGACGCGGCCAAACCCAACGAACACATCTCCCTACACCAGGACAAGGACTACTTTGAGCCGATCGACGAAGAAGAGGACAACCTGAGTCTTGCCGAGGAGAAGAGTCAGAGGAGATGCTGCTCTCGGTGAGCAACGGTCAGTCTCAGAAGATGCCAACGCATCGGCCCCTCCCAATTTTTTTTAACCTCATTCAAGTCGGCGGAGTCTTCCAGTCTCGTGCCCGTGTCATGCAAGGTTATCACAAACTTGAAAAAAGGGAGTGCCGAAAACAATTTTATCTCACCAGATAATTTTGTTTGAAAACTGAACAACAGTTTGAATAATTTTTAACAATGTTCAGGGAATGTGAGAAATCAAGAAGTATTTCATTGGTAGGCTAGCATATATCTTGCTCCTGTTCAGAAGATGACAAGGGAAAATGTGAACCCGAAATGTTAAGAGTTTGTGGGAGCCGACGTGCCATTTATATCAAAGTTTCTAAAATGAACTGAGGAACCTGTAAACCAGAAAAAGCTAAACTGAGGAAAATGAATATGTTTCCTCTGAGCAGAATTTGTAAACTTAATAAGTGGAATATTTATAATACATGTATATTATTTTTTATTTAAAATCTTTCAGAGTTTGATAATTTTTCCAGCATTTTGCCTACATCAGCAAGTTGGAAAAGTGTGCAGTAAAAGTACATGCCATTTTCCATGAATTAAATTTGTTATATTGGTCTGCAAATGTATATATCTGATTTTAAAAGTACAAGTATTAATTTTCTTCTTAAGCTACGCAGTTGTTACAGTGTAAACCATGGGATGAAGAAAAGGGGGTAAGATGGGTGCCTTCACAAATTCCTTTTGATATTGTAAATCATGTACAAATGTGCTGGACAATTATTTGAACATAAATATTTGTAAAGAATGAGATTTATTCCATTTTTCTGCATCAACAATACCAATGAAGTTTGTTCCAAATTTGTGCCCCCCCATACAAAATTATTTCCTGCCAATTTTTTTTTTAATGTAGATTTCAATCCCTAGGGCCGAGTCAATTCAAATACATGTAGTTCACTATTTGAATATGCGACCTTCAATTTGATTGAATATCCAAATATTCGGTGGTACCAACCTGCAGATTGTTGATAAACCATATACGCAATCAGTTGCAATAATGCACACAGTTGTACATTATAATCAATATAACAGCTTCTCACATCTAGGTGTATCTCCAGCCACAAGTTAGCAAGATTTGAGAGGTGAACAATACTTCTTGCCCTGTTGGAAATTTCTATTCCTTTTAGATTGTTCAATGAATAATTTCCTTTTTGAAACAATTTCTGTTGCTTTTCATTTAAATCTGCTTGAAACAAGACTCCATAGTGCAATGTTTCTCATTGAAAATAAAAGAAAAATTTTCCTTCCTTTTCATGAATTTTGCATTTGAATATTCAAATTTGGAAAGTACAACTTGAATATTCGATAATCGATCCCATATTCGGTTATTTGGCACAGCCCTACTGGGATTATACGTGTAGGTAACAACTCTTGGCAGATTTTTTTCTGTTACCTAACTGAAATGTTTTCAACACTTTACAGTCTTTTTTAAGAACTGGGTCAGTAAAGGTTCTGCTTCATGACACTTTCTCAAACTATGATTTTTACACCGTCCTAAAAGTAAGTTTTTGGTGACAAGGTTAATTGTGTTTTTGTGCAAGAAATTTGACTGCGAGTGGTATCCAATCAAATTGTACCCGTCTAAATCCTAAAAAACAGTAGCCTCCTGAAAATAAAGTCAAACTTCTTCCTCAAACATCATGTAAATGTAGCTTTTTGAGCAGAATAGATGTACATATATAAAACATTCCTTGGACTTTGGGCTGAATTATATTATGGGTATCTGCCTTTAATGAAAGGGCTGATATTCCTACTGCCTTTGCCGCTTTTGAGGTTATCTCATGCAGTCATACTCCTGAAAAAAAATGTTACTAGAAATGAATCAATCTTATCCTCTGAACACGCCATGGATCTGGTAAGCCAATCTCTCCTTGGTTCAGTTATGTGGGTCTGTTAACCACAGATTTTATGTACATGTATTTCAGTTACTGTGTTTTGTTCTGGAGTGCAAGCCAAAATTTCCAGGCAAACTTATGAAATACGCAAACCATCTCTGTAGAATTCTCAACTGTGGTTTAGCAAAGATCGCCCACATTTGGCGAGCAGGACCCCCTGATCCAAGTCACCGCATGAGCAAGAATATGCCCAGGTTTTTTGCTCGGTTCAGCAATGTGCAGTATGTCATCTGTCCTGTTTTCTGTCTCTTTGACAAGCCCAAAAGAAACAACAGTAAGACAACAATCTTCAAACATTCAACTGATCAGCTGACTGGGTGAAGTTGTACATTTGTTGGGGAAACTGTGGCTTATGACGTGTAATTATCTACAAGAATGATTTACTTTCGGGAATTGAGAATATCCTGATCTTGAGTTTGAATTCAACAACAGTATACCAGACTAGAGTCTGGTCAGTGTTCCGTCTTTCAACTTTGTCAGTTTGGCAAAACTCATAAATTGCTGCTTCCTATCTTGTGTAGTCTATTAAGCTAGGTTATTACGTGTTTATTTAGTTTGAGTAGTCCTTATCCATTCTGGGAAAACCCAAACTTTCCTCACATTCGTTCTACAGTAGAATGTTCCTAAGTTGGACCAACTTTCATTCGAACATGCTTTTTGGAAGATGTTGAGAATTGTTGGGTTTTCAGGATCATGTGCCTACGTGTATGTAGGTCCAGCACTTTTTAATTACTTGTAGTTGAAGTTCAGATTTCATTCAATACTGGTGAGAGATTCTACAGTTACATTTTGTATTAGTGTCCTCATTAATATTTAAAAACAAAATAGGAAATATTTAAATATGTCAATTCATCTCAGAAATGCTGATTGATTTCGTTGCCCCAAAAGTACAACTGAGACAAAGCCTTGTACTTTACAATGCAGGCCACAAGGTTGATTATCTGCATCAAATGCGTCAAATATATTTTATACAAGCAAGTGCTGAAAAATAAAAATGAATTATACACTCGAAATGCAAAAGCGTCTTTCTTCCCTGTTTACTGTGCATCACAGAGCTTTCCAAGTGAAAAATTGGTAAGAAATGTAAGTGCTGCCCAAGGTTGTGCACGTTGGGTGGTATGCAACCCATTTCACAATGTTTGCAATGTTCATCAGGATAAGTTGTGTAACCAGGGGGGGGTTAATAATGACATCAGTGTTGGCAGTTGATCATGGGTGGGGATCTTGATAAATTAAGTTTCCATCAGCAGCATCCTCTGAAACTTGTGTGTAATCCCTTGCACCCGTTTTGGGCACATCAAAATCTTTACATACTGCATGAAAATGGTTCTTAAAAACATGTAACATGTTGGGAACGTGTAAGAAGTCAGCTCTATGCAATAAGAACCGGTGTTTAAAGATATGTATGATGACGTCCGCCTAATGAGAATCATCCACAGGTTGAACGAAAACAATCACAAAGACATCTGTATCAGAAAATCCTTCAACAAGAGTGGAACTTTCTCCATTTAATGTTCATTAACCACTTCGCGCCGAGGAGCCCGGTTTCGGGTACCTTGGGTTTGTACACACATCCAGGGTGCCAGAAATCAGACAAAAGAGCTGGGCCTTGTAACAAAAGACTGTACGCGGAAAAAAAGACCGAGCTGCTGGGAATTGCCAACATTTTTTCAGTTGTTGATACCTGGTGAAATCCGTCATTGTTTTGAAATATTATACCACTGTTTGTGGCATTCGGCATGAGCGGATTACCGCCAGGGACAAAAGCGCACCAGCGCTCCAGTGATGAGCGATACAATACCGCTGATGCTAATCTGGCCCGTATTGAAAAGACGTCAGCAGCGCACTGTGCCAGTTTCGGGAACAAAAGAAACTTATGTAACACCACACACTCTGGGCTCTTTTTACAAGGCGGCAGGCCTGGCTGAAATACTCGGGCATCAATAGATGTTGCCTGTCAGATTAGAGTAGCCACCAGACAGTCTTTCGTGTGGCTGTAAATGTCCAGTAAACGAAGTAATGAACTTTTGAAGAATTTTAGAAAAGGAAAATCTTGAAAAATGCCCGTATGTTTGCATGGCCATTTTAATTGAATCCGGCAGCATGTAGGTCAACTCCTGCTGTGTAAAAAAGTTCGAGATGATGTACTCGGTATTCAAGTTACGGATCAAAAGCCATCAGGTGTCATTTCCTTCTTGCAAGAACAAAAAGGTGTGTCTACAAAAAATGAAATCCATGGCTTTGAAAGCAAACACAGAAATTTAGCAAGACTCTGGACTGATCCAATCGGAGAGTGCTTTAATAAAATCTTTCTGGCTTGAAATGGAAATACGTGGAATTTATGGAACAAAATTTTGTTGTGCCGAGTTAAATATGATATCTCCGCAGACAGTCCCAAATACACTCAAAATATTTGAGTGAGGTTTCTTAAAAACTTCTAAACAGTAAAAAGTTCCTTGTGCAGTTACGTTGCCTGAAAGAAACCCCAGTGCTGGGCGCAATGGGTAGAGAATCCTGATTTACGAGTTGGACAGGAGCGTGGTCTGGCACTCAGAATGCAGCAGCAATACTTCTGTCTGCAGTAAACCGTGACAACTGTCCAAGCCGAGTCACAAATAAATTCCTTTCAATTACTTGTACAACTGCAAACCAAGTGTGTGGCCCAATCGGTCACTCATAAATGAGTTTTCTCCATCCTTCACTATTGGCCCCCCATCGCTTTCTGCTTGGCAGCTAGGAGCCCCTCGTTCTGTTGCACCTGGTATTCTTGGAAGCGCTGTGATACCCTCATTGTCATCTTCAGGTACTTGTCCATACAGTTGGAGGTGCACTTTGTCTGCATGGAGGGACAGGTACGATAATTTTCACCGCTGACTGGGGTTAACAGCGACACCGACAAATGAACACATCAGTAGATAAAACAATGCATGTGGCAGACCTGTAAATGATAACTGAGCCCTTTGCTTAACCTCCTTTTCTCCTCTATTTTGACCTAAACTTAGATAATTCAATGTTCCCCCCCCAAAAAAAATGAATAAATAAAGCAGCAGTGAGTTGGTGGGTCTCATGTTAGGGAAGTCAAGTCATTTAATCGAAGCGAAGGGAACCAGAGATGTTACTCTGTAACTTGCCCTGGATATGAGGTTGGGTTATACGTAGCAGAGAATAGTCAAAGCACTAAAATAAAAATGAAAGTTGACGCTCAAGATGCAAATTGCATTGTTGAGATTCCATTTTATACATAGTAATAAAAAAACAGAATTAAAGGGACTTACTTCAGTGACAGTTTTGTGGCTCTTCTAATTTTCTGAAGGCTTAAAGGCCGGGAGCTCTTTCAGACAAGTGACTCAAAAATAGAGGTTATGCGTTAACGCATCCTCAGAGGGCAAGAGATTTGTATCACTGGGACAGGACTGAAAAAACTTTGAGAGCATTCGTTGTAACCAACCCTTTCAACAGAAAGAACAGCCTCCAAGACACACCACAGAGAGCCAGCAATGGCATAACCTCTATTAGGGTTTTTTTGATACAGGACAAGTCTTCACCTCATGAAACTTAATAAAAAGAGTCTCATTTTCAAACTCTTCAGTAAGTCCTTGATGGATGGTGTTAATTATGTTGTTTTTTTCTTAAACAAAGATAATGTTCAGTGAGGTAGAACACTTTTGGACCAACGCAGCCTGTACACATACATATCTGTACAAATACATGTACCAACTGATGCATGGTCCAATGGTGATGGTTATTACCAAAACATTCTACACCCAAAATACGCATGATTCATTCGGGAAAATCTTGAGATGTGTCACCTCTTTGTCCAACAGCTTTCTTCCCGTGAAGTCTTTGATGCAATCAACGAAGCAGGATTCCGTCAAACGATTGTAGGAAGAGAGGAAATCGCGAAACTACAAAGGAAAAAGGAAATGAAGGGAATTCTAGCAAGGAAGAACTGATGCCCAGCTGCACAAAGTTATTTGGAGGCTAAAATTGAAGAAACTGAAAGAGTTCACCTAGATATTTTCAGACTAGAATGTTTTCATTCAAGCAACTTGTAGTTTTACAAATGAAAGCAGCTCATTGAGCAAAGTTTGTGTGGTTTGTGTTTGACAGTGTAATATAAAAACAGGATAATGGGAGACCTTTTGAGGCATTTGGTCCTGTAACGATCGCGTGTGACTCGTCCACTTTTGTTAGCATCAAATAGCTAAACAGCGGATTCTCAAAAAGATGCACACAACAGTGGACCGGTCACATGGGATTGGTATGTTTGCCACCACAAAGCATCTTAAAGTCTTCCACTCACATCAGCATAAAATACATATGCATTTACAGAATTCAAATACGTGTAATGACCTTTGATCTATCATATCCATTTTCTTTAAGAAATCTTGAGTGTTGAAAACCCATCCTTGTTGATATCTGATTTGACCTTTTGCCTTGTTACATTTGTTTTAAATCATCCTTACCAGTGCAACATTCAACTAAAAATCAGTTTTCAATTGAGGATTTTTAAGGTACAACCCCATAAAAACTATACATGCTTAATGAAGGCAAACCTCCTTTATTTGCATCTGTTGCTGTTGTTGCTGTTGTGGATTTGGCATAAATGCCATGGTGATGGTTAGGAAATGATGAACTCTTAGGAACAACTCATCTGATCAGTTCATCCTGATACCTGATACTCTAGCTGCAAAACACAAGAAAAAATCAAGATGTTTGGTATGGACATGAGATTGGAGAAGAAAAAAATTCCATGAAATATTTTGTTGGGCACCATCCTTAATCCTTCAAAATCCTCCTTTGAGTATTTAAGGGGTGTCCACGGCCTCAATGCTTCAAAATTCTCCAGCAATTCTGTCATTACATGTATGGTATCCTGGAGCAGTATGGAGGATTTTGTGACCCACTCTAGGAAAAGGTGATTTAAGTCGCACCATGCATTTACGAGCAATGACCCTCTCAACTTTGGATTCAAAAAATTTTTTTCTGACAAAATCATTGAAATAATTCCTTAGTCCTTGAGTGAATTTTGAAGGTGGTTGTAACGCAAGAACATGTTGGTTGCTAAGTAAGATTTAAATGCCTACAACCCACATCAGAGCCAGACATTTCAAACCTGTTTTCTTGGTTTTGCAATTTCAATTGCTTGGAATTAATATGCAAATGTGTCATAACTCCGGAACGGGAAAGGCTACGGAGCTCTTTAATATACCAAATGAAAGCTTATAATGTGGGCTTTCCAGTCATGTATATAACTTGATTTTTTTCGAGCAACTTATATCACTTTTTCTTGGAGAAGGTCACATATGATGAACTGGTAGGCATGAATTTATGCATGGCTGAGCATAGACAACACAAGGTCTAACGCACAACCTTGATATAATGTATTATTTGCAATCAGCCACACTTATGCCATTTTTCCTCAATGATCCCCCAAAATTCTGTGGGTGGTTTTAGGGCTAATCACAACATACATGGGGGCATGTGGCCTAGTGGTTAGGGTATGTAGCTTCTGATCATAGGGTCGGGGGTTCGAATCCAGCTGGTGGCAGCATGTTGTGATCCTGGGCAAGTCACTTTACCATGTTTACTCCTATGTGCCTCTCTCCACCCAGGAGTAAATGGGTACCAGTGAGGGCAGACACGGTTATGTTCAGCTGTTTGCACCTTGTTTGCAATGGCAGCATCAGGCTAGTATACTCCCCAGGGAGCTTAGAAGGTTTCAGGAATGTTCAGATACACTCCTCTACAGCATTAAAAATCTTTGAAACGTCACACAAATTTTTGGTTTGTAGTGGCTACAGGTATTAAGCAATAATGTCCTTTCCCTAACAGTAGGGTACATATCACAACACGGAGACTGTTCTTAAACTTGGAGACGTCTCTTTATTTGGAGTCAAAATCAGTCCCCCGAAAGAGACAATATAATATCTCTTTCTCCCTTTCAGGGCTTTTTGTGTGAGCTTAGGGATCCCACCGTTGTTCTAGGGATCCTTTTAATGCCACAATTGGATTCAGTAGAAGAAACCATCCCAGGCTGCTGTTTGAAAAAAAAAACTCTATCGTTTATGTCTAGAATTCTAACCAGGAGTGTGCAATAGGATGTAAATGGTGCGAAAAAACAACAAAACAATTTTTCTTTTAATTCATAAAAAACAACTTCAGTAACTTACATGTACATATATATATGAATGGAAAAATTGGGGAAAATTGATAACAGTATGTTGTGGTACGCCCACCTAGAAAAAAACTTCCCTTTTAAGGAGACATTCTCTTTTTTAGAGGACCGGTTTTGTGTCCAAATACTGGGACTTCTCTAAATTTAAGGACAGTCTCTGAGTTCTGATGTTCACCTCTACTGCACCAATAAGTTGTTTTGTTGTTACAAATAAGCCTTTGAACACATCCAGATCCACACAATCTAAAAGTTGGTGTGATGTTTCCTGATGGATAAGCCTTATTGCTAATACTGCATAGGTGCTTTTTCACCAAAGTAGAAAGGTATTATGGGAAGGGAAAAGGAGCAATGTTTTGCGCTGTTTCCTTCCCACAATGCCTTTCTAAGATTGTGCAAAATCCCGATGCAGTATCAGCAATAACTTGGATTAGAAGGCTTATCGTGGCCAGTATTCTTACCGTTGTGCATGTAGGCCTATCATCAAAGGAAAGAGTTCCATACGTACATGTAGATGCCACTTGACACCCTATGCACAAACCCTATGGGACTCCTAAATTCCCCTCCTAAATTGAACTTTTCTGGACATTGTTTTGACTTTCTGATGGCTATTAAGTCACTGTAGGGAAAAATTACTGGCGTCCATATTTATGGAACTCTTCCCAATCAAATGCCAATGTAGGCCTACTCAAGCTTTATGCTCTCTTGCTAAGTTCTAACCCCACCAGTGTGGCCAGGTAGGGGGGGCGCAGCGTACCACAGCCATACTGGTGGGGCTAGCTTAGTTCCATATTGGCATGATTGGGAAGACTTCCATATACCGACGCCAGTAATTCTTCCTTACAGTGACCTATTCGCCGCCAGAAAGCAAAAACATGTCCAGAAAAGTATAATTTAGGAGGAAAAAAAGACAAATTTCTCACTTAGAAAACGGAATTTTTCAGACCGGTCCCATAAGGTTTGTGCACACAGGGTGTCAAGTGGTGTCCGTATATGGAACTCTTTCCTCAATATTTAGCAAAAAACCTTGGTACTCGAAAAGTACCAGAGTTCTTGACTAGCACGACTAGGCTACGATAATAATTTTGACAAGACAGCTAACATGGCTAACAGACCTGCCGAGTTTCAGAAATTCCAATGCGTGAGATTGGTTTGTGTGATTGAAACCCACATCCATTATAATGCATAATCATATCATGATGTCAACATTTGAATAAAATATTTATGGTGACGTCATCAAAACTAAATGAAAGTTAATGCATGAAATGCTTGGGATCTCTTCGGGGCTCATTATAATTCTTTTTAGAAGTCGTTAAAACTAAATCACATCGCGATATGTTTTCAACTGTCGTGAAAATGATGTTTTCAAGTTAACATTTATACAAAATGTCAATGAAAAAATTTGGAAAAAGTTTGAGTGCATGGCCCATGTACATGTACTACATTCTACAGCGCCCGTCCAAGACGGAACGGAAAATTTATAGCGCGGCACTACAGCATGCGTTGCCGATTTATTTATGCTGCATTCAGATCTGTTGTTTAGGCCTAGGTCAAGGTCTTCGCTCTACGTGGAGACGCCGAGAAAATAGACCTAGCCGAAGTTCTAGAAGACGGTTTCGGAGACGGCCTACACTTGGCGTGAGTCATCAGTAGTGCATAGTCGTTAGTCAAGGCGCGTGTGGCAACTGGCTCCAAACGTGTACTCAAGACGCACACAATTCACGAGCTTTGCCACTCGCTCTGCACAGCCTGTCTTCCTCATGTGTGCGCCATGTGTCCAGGTGAGCCTTGACTTAAGCTAATACTGTAATACAGTGCAGTGCGCGAGTGCAGTACAGTATGGGGCAGTACGGACATCCGGGATTCTCGCAAAATGACAGGTCCTGCTCCAGTGAAAACAGCGATCTTAGTGATGTACGCAGGCACCAACCAGTCCGAGGATCGGGTTAAATTTTTTTTCTTTGATCTGTACGTATGCGCGCGCTTGTTGCATAATTGCAGTTGCTTTCACCAGCGCGGTGTGGTTGCTACCTGTATTTTTTGTGAAACTCCCAAATGTCCATGCTGCCCCTGAAGAAAGCAAATTAATGCACGTGACCAACCTTGTTGTCCGATGCGTGAGTTTTTGTGAATTGTCGTCATCATTTGCAGAATACGAGAGATTTTGAACTTGATGCGTATGAACGTGAGATTTGGTCAAAATGCATGTGTCACACGCCTAATACGTGAGACTTGGCAGGTATGGGCTAATATGGCAAACGTAACACAATCGTGGCAATGCAAGTTGCAACCATCTGCATCTCAATGGCCAAGGTGTCGGTCACTTCGCCCCATTCCCACTTCCCGAAGTGGGGCGAAGTGGAAATGGGGCATCTCAAACCCAAATCAAAATCAAAGAAACATCGTCGACATTTCTGGTATTTTTCATCATTCAAGTAAAAATATAAAATTCAAGATTACTTACGGTGATAAGTAAACAAAAAAGAAGTTTCTTTTATTTTCCTGCTCAATCGAAACACGCTGCCTTCGTTACACACACGAGCCCTGCGACACCCACCCATGCGTTTTGGCAGTGTACATGTATGTTGCATTAAATCTATGCAATACAGGGATATTTAACATTTAAAGAGTTCAGAAATCCAATTTAAGTGCATGTGTTCTGGTAGTGTCTGGCTGCCAGACTCTGCTTAGCGTAGATATATCGTTATTGCACAGGTACCATCCTATTATCTGATCGTCGATATCGCGCGGCAAGTTTCATTTTTATAATGCTGAAGACAGTCATTCTTTCTTGTCGTCTAACCAGATATTTAGTATGTTTTGTGAAAAGGTCTTAGAATTGATTCAAGAATTACAGAGGTCAAGAGATGGAACAATGCTACCTTTCAACGTAAGTCAGTTTATTTGTAATCATGACATGCCATCTACGGTCTAGCAAGTAAATAGCATCTGAGAATCCTTTCCTTCTTCCATTAATGTCCATGGTCACTGATGAGTGCTGGTACACATGACACATACATCATGTAAAGTGATACTGATTAGTACCGGTATATAAAAAAACAGTGCTGACCATTGCTAACGTTTATAGTGGCGACATCATGAACAAGCAAGGAACTTACATGTACATTGTACTGTAGCCTGACTAACGTTAGACCATTCAACTGGTCAACTTCAGCACTGCATGTTCAGGGGGCAGTCATGATGTAGGCTCCTACATTACCCCCCAGAATCGTGGGGGACGTCGGACCCCACAGTTCTAGGGGTAGGCCTACATCATATGTCATGTTGCAAGCCCTCTACATCAAATGTAGGTTAGGCTAGGCCTATGGCCCGTGTGTAAAGTTTACATCATTGAGAAGCAGACAGTCATCAGGTCACTCACTGTCATTTGTCATGTTTGTTTTCGCTTGTATGCCACACTCCCATTATGCCCTTGTCATTCTCACAGTCGGAATGACATCACTGAATCTTGGTTCTGTCTGATTGGTCAGTTGGTGGCTGTTCCTTACTTCACACTTGGGATTCAAACTCAAAGTGGCGAAAATAGTGTTGCTGTCCATGCCATGTCGAAAATCTGAATTATCAACCAAACTCTTAACCTTTAGGCTTTACACAAAATATGCTTGAAATTTCACTGTTTTCACATCCATAGCGCATGCGCTATGTATGTCTCCCACACTCTACCGAAAAGGTTTCAGTCATTTTTATCACATTGCAACAAAAAATGGAGAAAACATACAAATCCATACAAACTGAAGGGAAGGTTGCCCCCTTGCCCAGACGCGAGTGCAATAAATGGAACAACCTCTGACCGCGACAATGCATGTGGGAGCTGGCAGACAATTGCATAGTTCTTGGGGCGGATTGTGCAGTAACATGTAAGGGGTGGGGAGGCAGTGCCCGGTGGTTGGGCTTATGGGCATGATCAGATAATCTGATGACAGATGGTCAGATGGTATGTAATCAGTCATGTCATTATGAACGTCTAAACTTCACCAAATTACCTTCTGCGCTTATCATAAAAGTATAAAAATTGGACAAATTCAAAATTTGTAAAAACTGAACATTTTGGATGTATTGTTGGAGGCCACTGCTTTATGTCAAGAAGTCCTCACTCACCCTTGTGAGTTCCATAGTCACGATAGTGCTCATGCTGTGCGTAATCAGTTGACATGGTTGATCTCTACAGTTGCTAGACTTGAATCAAGTCAGATTTACGTTGCTCTCCCCTAGTCAGCCATTCCTTCAGCTGCAGCCTGTGTGCACTACACGGTCATCGCGCTCAGCCTGGCAGCTTGCATAACCTTCATAGGGCACCCTCTTTTGATAGCCTTTATTGTACAACATGTTTCATACGTCATCAGTCAGTAAGTCCGACTTGACAGTTAAGCCAATTGGACCCCCCCATCAGTAATATGCAGTTATTCATAACTGCATATGAACGACATGATCTTGCATAATGTATACGGAATTTCCACCAGTCAAATTAGTCAGAGTTGTGGACTCGTTCATTATAGTGCACGTATGAATGACGTAAAAACAAGTCTGGCAATGTTACTGGCTGCAACCACATTTGGTAGATGAGCCCATTCGCTGTGTACAAAGGGTTGGCAGATTTGCCAAGTCGGGATTTCTGAACTGAACTCATAGTAATAAGTGGACACAAGAGGGCGCGAAGCAAGTAACAGTGCGCAGTAACAGCATGTATCCAAAGCATAAACGAAGATGTCACAGAGATCCCGACTTAGTCAAGTCTGTACAGTTGCTTGATCTTTGTGTGGTTACTCGATATTACTGCATGATTTGTCAATAATTCCACCATTGGCTAATCACCTTTTCTTTCTAAATCATGGATTGTTACCATGGTTACCAAGCTGGTTGGTTGCTGTACCCAAGAACCAAGAGGGTAATAGTTACTCTATGATTTTATGAGCATTTCTGTTACAATTCTCTGTCATTCTTGGTCCAGGAAGATAAAGTGAGGCAAGTCTTGGAAGAAATGAAAGCTTTGTATGACCAGAACCAGGCCGATGTTGTGTGAGTAAGCTTTAAGTACACTAAGTACATGTACATGTGCAATGATTTAAAGTTAAAATCTCAGCACCCTGAAAACAGATTAACAAGATACAACCTTAGACCACTGGAAGTTTTCTTTGAAGAAAAACTTTGTTCCTGTAATTTCTTATTTAATGATTCAATAACACTTATTTATGGAAATGTCCAGTCACAGAACAACATACGCTGTGAAGATCCTAAAATCAAGTGTAGTGAACCAGTGTAAATTCTTATTGGTTTGTGTGGTTCTATTGGCAGGAGGACCAGGGAAGAAGGCCAGAGTGGTCTGTTCTCTGGAGTGCAGTTACGTCACACTTGTCTGGAAAGAAACCAGCGATGTCTCTTGGCATATCTGTAAGAGTCTCTCAAGATTCTTTTTTTTCCTTCTCACTCTTGTTAGGTCAAAAAAAGTCTCTGGTTTCTGGTCAGAGGCTGGCTTCAGAAGTGGTGCTGCAACACTTTTGTTTTTGCCCCTCACTTTTTGCCTAGAATTGATGTACATGTATGTATAACGTGCGATGTCCATCACAACTGCATTGTGTACGTACCGCCGCTACCCGCTACCACCACTGAATTAGACTGGCCCCCCTCTCACTCTTTACTGTTTAAAAGCATTCTCGGCCTGTAGATGTACTTGTACACAGGACTTAAGACCACCTTGTTTGTCCAGTTCCTAGATGTAAATGTATAACATATTAATGACATCACGTCGTCTGAAAAAGAGTGCCTGACTAAATGTATGGGGCCTAGAAGGACTCCTTTACTGTACATATTACTCCACCACACACCATCTAAACATGTTTAAATTACGCAGTAGGAGGATTCCAATGGATCAAGCAAGTTTGGCAGTTTTTGGACATCATAATATGCCAACTTAAAACCTTTTAGTTTTGCCGACGTGCAGGTGTATGGCGACACTCGCTGACCAGAAACCGGAGACTTTTGGGGGGATCTTATTGCTCATTTGTCAAAAGTCACCGTATGAGGCCTTTGAAAGCGGTTCATGAAAAGAAAGCACACATGTACATGCCTGTACAAATTGTTTCTATTGGTTGCACTCTGGTTGATGTCTTGGAAATGAGAGAAGCCCAGTTGAAGTGGTGTTCGTCACAAGAGAAACCACAAGTTAGACTTTAGGCAGATTGTAACACTGCTAGGCTGTGCTAAATATTTTAATATTTTCAATGAATTATCAATTTTGGAATCTTTATTGTTGACAATGATATTCAAAGGCAACAATCAATTATAGGGTAGAGGGTGAACTTTAATTATTTGGTTACAAAATAGCATTCTAAAAGCATGTTTCAAGGTGTTATAAGTAAACTTTAAGGCAGGTGGATGCATATGCCCAACAATAAAGCCCAAAAAATTCCTTTTCCTTGCCCTTTTTTGTTTATTTTATTGTTGTCTGATTTCTCCTCAACTAAGAGAATATATCAACAAATCACCCATTGAGTGCAATTATCTGTTGGACTCCTGTTTTCCGCCTTTAACCCTAACTGCCCAAGGGGTTGCTGGACCTAACCTTCCCCATTCACACAAAGTTAAACGCCCATACGGGACTTTGTGCACATAGGCTGTTGGGCTTAGTTTTTCTGAAGTATGCCAAACCCAATGCAAAAGCCAGCTGTTATGGGCCTACCTGACCATGTGTAAAAGATTGCAGTATTACATTTTATTCTGTTGCTGTGATCTTTCACTTTGACAGACATAACCGGCTTGCCATCATTCGAAACATGAGATGGGAGTTTGGTAGTGTGCTCCCAACAGACGTCAAGCAGAACTTGTCAGAGCAGGAGGTACAAATAAAATTTGGGTCACCGTCACCCACTTGTATCCGTCTTTGAAATATGGACTCAAACAGCATGAAAGGGTATCATGTCAGAAAATTCTACTCTGAGAGGTCAGGCAGACATTTTTAACCACTTGCTGCCGGGCTCAATTAAAATGACCGTGCACAAATACGAGCGTTTTTTCAGGATTTTCCATTTTCAAAATTCTTCAAAAATTCATTACTTCATTTACTGGACGTTTACACCCACACAAATGACTGTCTGGTGGCTACTCTAATCCAACAGGCAACGTCTATTGACGCCCACGTATTTCAGCCAGACCTGCTGCCTTGTAAAGAGAGCCCAGATTGTGCGGTGTTGCGAAATTTCCTTTTGTTTTAAAAACTAGAGCAGTTCGCTGCTGGCGCGTATTGTATCACTCAGCACTGCAGTGCTGGAGAGCTTTCGTCCATGGTTGTAATCCTTCGTATTAAATGCCACAAATAGTGGTATAGTGTCTCAAAAAAAGGACGGATTACCTCCGCTATTGACAACTGAAAAAATGCTCTTCAAGTCCCAGCAGCTCGTTGTTTTCTTTTGTTACAAGACCCGGCTCCTTTGTCTGATTTTGGGCTCCCCAGCTATGTGTAAAAACATGAGGTACCCGATACCGGGTCCCCCGGCGCGAAGTGGTTAACCTTGCTGGGAAGGCACCCGTAGCTGAGGTTTTGTACAAGAAACCTTGTTGACAGTGAAAGAGTTTCAAAAATGTTTCTTACAACATTTGCACGAATTAGGATAAATGACAGGATAATTAGCCAAGAAGAGATTCATCAACTTTAAAGCATGTCGATCTGGTGTTTGCAGTGCTGTTATGCAGGTGTTTTTTTTCACCATAGTTCCAGTGGTTTACAAAATACAACAAATCCATGGCAACCTACATGAGGTCGTTAGGCTCTGACGGTTTGGATCTGACTCAGGTAATTAAATTCTGATGAAGTGAGCGATTGACTGCGATGTTTTCTTGAACCCCTAACCCTTGAAAAGTGTGGCAGAGTTGGGAGTCATCCCAAATGTCCATGATTCAAAATTATGGAATTCCCGTTTTGCTTTGGCAAGATACCTCTGCACTGATGATGCCAAATGTGTGCTTTCCTGTGGTGCTCATTCAAATGTGGGCCTCCGCTGGCTCCCTCAAAAAGAGCACATGTAAGCAAGTCTGATGTTACCAGTGCACTGGACTTTTGGCTTTGGGCTGTTTTTGTGTAACTTTTGTTGAAAGTGCATCAAGATATTTTAACAGAATGATTTTACAGTTCAAAACTAAAAGTTTTCAGGGTTTTGTTGCTGTAATGAAAAAGACAATTGTAAAAAATACGAATCTTGTGTAGCTGTTGTGTGATACAAATTGACAATTTCTTTTAAATTATCTTTATTTCTTGTCAAAATGTTGTCTTCTCATTACACAGGATCGGAAACCACCAAAAAGTTTATACATTGAGGTAAGAAGTTAACAATTTCTCTCTTTTGAACCTAGAGTGCCAATATTTAAAAAGGAAACATTTTTGTCTCTGTTGACTTGAACTAAATAGCAGGCTTTCTGATGACTGCGCACTTTTTTCATTTTCAGGTTCGTTGTTTGGTTGACCACGGTGAGTTTGAAACTGAAGATGGAACAATAATCGTTCTCAAGAAAAACAGCCAGGTAAGCTAAATACGAGGGTCATTGAAAATATCCTGACAGAGACTCCAAGCCGGAGTTGTAATGACTTGAGTCAATGACTCGACTCGAGTCCGACTCAAGTCACAATTTTCTGCGACTCAACTCAAGTCCCGACAGGTTAATGACTCAACTCGACTCAAGTCTATGGCCAAATGACTCGACTCGACTCAAGTCTATGGCCAAATGACTCGACCCAAGTCTATGGCCAAATGACTCAACTCGACTCAAGTCTATGGCCAAATGACTCGACTCGACTCAAGTCTATGGCCAAATGACTCGACTCAAGTCTATGGCCAAATGACTCGACCCAAGTCTATGGCCAAATGACTCAACTCGACTCAAGTCTATGGCCAAATGACTCAACTCGACTCAAGTCTATGGCCAAATGACTCAACTCGACTCAAGTCTATGGCCAAATGACTCGACTCGACTCAAGTCTATGGCCAAATGACTCAACTCGAATCTTTCATGGAGACTCAACTCGAATACAAGCTTACAAGACTCGAGTCTCAAGCAAAATTTTGGTTAACTAGATACCTGTCACCTTAATTGATTATCAGTATGTCTAAATGAAAATTGTTCAAAAATTTCTAACTCAAATTGACTCGAACTCGGTACTTGACTCATCTACAGAAAATGACTCAACTCGACTCTTGACCTAATGACTCGACAACACTGCTTACAACACTGCTTCAAGTTAACCTTGGGAGTGTTTCACATCAACATGAGTCAAACCTGTCCAGAAATTTTAACAAAACATCCTTCAAGAATATTTTAGAGTTGTTTTGATTTAGTTCAACTTCATACCTTTCGCTGATTGTGAAATTTGATACAGTTCCTAATCTCTAAAATTGTCTTTTCTTAGAGGGACCTCTTGCATTGTGTGGTGTTTTTAAATTTGTCCGCCAAAATCTGATTAATTATTTTATTGACAGAGTCAGAATCGATTCGCTCACAAGTCCAGATACAGCAGATATAAAGAGGAATGCCTTACTACATTTCATTTAAATAAATAGCTTGTGACTTGGCCCCAGACTGAATAACTTGTGATGGAATTGCAGGGACTTGTGATGGACTCAACTATAGTTCTCTTTTTTTTTAAAATGAATATCAAGACGTGGATTTATTGCTTTCTTCACAAAGTTCAGCGTTCAGCTGCCCAACATTTTGAACATTTTAGGTGATAAAAAGACCACATTTAATACTTTCTGCATTCTGTATTTGTCCCCCTTATCCATAGCATTTTCTTCAGAGGTCACAGTGCGAGCATCTGATATGGCAAGGAGTTCTGGAGCACATCCTGTCCTGATCCAAACAATAGAGGGCGCACTTCACCAGCTATGTGGCAGTTGAGAGGTTTCAAAACTGTCTCTCAAAATTTCTTCACAGCTACCATTGGACGCACCCCTGATCTACAACCAAAAAGCCACTTGCAAGTTAAATTTGAATAAAATCTAGTATACTGAGTTCTTTATATTCACGTGAACATAACAACTTGAATTCTCCATACTAAAACCACTGTTGCTATACCTCGTGATTCGGGGCAGGCTTTTGCTTAGTGACATAAGAGAGGCCTTGCAACAATACAGTGTTCTCAATGGATAAGAACGGCACAAAGGAACCGGTCCATTCCAGAGATGGTGGTCGCTATGCAAAAGCTTGCCCCGAATCACAAGGTATAGCAACAGAGTCTTTAGTCTGGGGAAATCAAATTGTTACGTTCCTGTGCAATCAGATAACACAGTGTATCAGATTTTATTCAAATTGAACTCGCAAGTGGCTTTTTACATCTGTACACAGGGAAGACTGTCCTTAGAGTAACAGCACTAACGTCTGGCCAATCAAAACTCCTACTTCCACTTGTCGCTTTTAGGTTTATCTGATTGTTTTCAGAATTGAGATTGAAAGGATTCTTCCTGATTTCAGAATTTTTTCATCAAGATTTTCTTGATTTCAGGATTTTTGTCAGTTTTCTCCACACGATCTTTAAAGTCTTTAAAATCCTGGTTTACCATTATGGTGTCTTGATGTATTACAGTCAATAAAGAGCACAAGAACTAAAGCAGAACAGAGCGTGCATAGGCTCTGTACCGCTGTGGGTCCCAGAAACCCTCTGATAATTCATTCCTGGATATTTCATTTTGCTCCAATCTCATCCATGTTTTACTGACAGCCAGTGAGAAATGTTCACAGGTTAACTAGAATAAAACGTTCCTAGTGACAAGTGCAGCTCCTCGGCCAAGTGTCTGCTGTACGTTTTCTGTTAAGTTTCTCTGCTAGGGGAGAAAAGCACAGGAAAGGGTATGCTTAAAATTGTAATGCAGCAATGGATAGGGCTACTCCATTCAAAGTACGTGTATACTATAGATTAGAAAATGGGCTTGAGTTAAGCACAGTGTTCTGCATTAGTTCCCATAACTTCTCTGCTAAAATTAGTCAATTCCATGAAATAGACAGGTACTTTTGGAAGTGCTCATTTGACAGTGGTTCCCTGTCGGACTTGAAGAAGTTGATGTTTGTTACAGAAAATAAACTCTTTGAAACTGTTTGTAATCAGGAGGATTGTGCATTGCATGCTGCATGTTTGTAGTAGACGTATTTTCAATGAAAATAAAAAGACCTTGTAAAGTTCTGATATTAGCCCAATCGTCTTCCGGTAAAGACCTGAAACAGGCATTTACCTAAAAAACTGGTATCCCTGGACACTGTGCCACCTTTGTGCGAGTGGATAAAGCACGTAAGAACAACATTAGAGAGGCATAATGGGCATGCTTTACACTCGCCGAGTCTCTGTAAAGAGTGCATTTTATTTTCCAAATACTCCACCAATCCCATGGCGGCCTCAGTAAGAATTTTATTTATAACGATACCATTCAGTCCCTTTTGAGTTTGTCCTTTATTTGTCTTTAACTGTATACTTTAGACACTACAGCTTTGTGGAGGAAAGACTGTACATTTCCTCATATTTATATTATTCATAATAATAATACACGTAACAATACAAGTAATTGCTGGGCTTATTCAGCAAATGAAATGGGTTTCTCTCTCTCTCAAAAATGTATATCCACAGTACACGAACTGATCCTCAACACGAGTCACTAATGAAGAATTAAAGTGGCTGAATATTTACGTACATACAATATGCAGTCCATCAATACATCCAATCCGACACGGATCACCATAAAATAACAATGGGGTCTGCGGGTCCACCCACAATTAACTTTCAAGATTTCTGTGGTCAGATAAAACCAGGCAAGGGAGTACCATTCTGAGATTGTGACTCTCAAAAAGTAACAGTATTTATAACATTGGCCGCAGAGGTTGAAACTGCCCAGTTTGGTAGCTTCTGTCACATTGACATTGTTATTTGTCAATGTGCCAACTCTCCACCAACAGGTGACAACATATTGCTCCATCAAATCACGGTGGACCTGAATTTTCCAACATTTTGGAGGCCATCAGGACGTTCTGATGATCAAGAACATAAATATGCCCCATAAAGTCCAACCTAATGCCATGAAAGCCAATTAGAAAGGGGAAAAATCTGCTTTTTGGAACCAAAATGTTTACAAATGAAGATGTATGTGCACTCGGAGTGACAATTCAAGTTCTCATAATCCTTTCTAGCTTAAGGAAGCAAATGATAAATGTGCAGTGCATCAAAAATTCTCAAATGAATATAATTCCAATTGCTTCCCAAAATTGCTCGTGAGCAGTTGTTACCACATCCAAGGTTTTCAGTTCAGAGAATGTCAAGTCACATATTTGCCTGTCGTTAATATGTTGGTTGGGCCCCCAAATTAATGTAATCACTGTTGCAATAACTGGGCCTGTTCAGGGGTTTGAATGTTAACTGCTTTTACTATAGCCTCAGTGACATAATACTGTTCATGTCTGACAGCCAAACCTTGGTATACTATAAACCTTGAAACCACAATACCAACTCCTAATTACTGGACTGAATACTTGCCACGGAATAATTTATCAAACTACAAAGAACCACAAAAAGAACCACAAAAAGTTTGTTTTCAATTCCAGACCGCTTCCCTTGACTTTTGCAAGAGTCGGACAATTGCACTCTTGGGAAATAGCCACGAGAACTACTGCTAGTGACTACAGCGTTTGTTTACTGTACAAATCTAATATTGACCAAAGATTGTGAAGAGCCCAGGTTTAAAGCAGAGGCATGGCTGACCAGTCTTGCAATTCCTCAAATGGCATTCTTAAGCCCACGTACATGACAGACCACGGCACAGCGCTCTTACAATGCCATTTTCAAAGGGTGCAAAGAAATGGCCCTACATTTTTTGGCAATTCACCAATTTGGTAAACCTCTTTCAATGAAAACTTTTTACTCGAGGAAAAATAAAGTGTATTGGTATAAATGAAGCACAGGTCACTTTTGCAAGGAACACCCCCGCTTCGTTAAACACATAACATCTTCCATCAGATGACAACACGGACAGATAATGTGAGAAAATAAAATATTCATCAACTTCAGAGGTGTGAACCACTTTCTCTAGTATTTTTGCATGGGAGATTTTCTTTCATGGCATCGTCAGAGGCAACGTTGCACTTTCCTCCAACTTCTCTCTGGTCATGACACAACCAAGAACATGCCTTACCTAAGAAAAAAAACCCCAAAGGTTCTGGGTAAACTAACCAAATGAACAAAGCATTACGGGCATTCTCTTAATGTTAATACCTTTTTTATATTATTCTGTACATAACTATATATATATACATGTATATATACACACATATGCATCAACAGAAAACAAAAACCACTTTGGAATACAACATCGTTGACGTGTTGTATAAATGTTTTTACTATCAAAACACCAAGCACTTGATGTAAAATGGAGATAAAAACCTAAAATTTTTATACACGTAAAAATACACACCATAACCCTGATAAGACACCAAAATAAAAGGAAAAATACTTAAAAACTGAGAAAACATGAACAACGTGAAGATACTTTATATGCTGGTATGTCATTTTATGGATATAAAATAGCTATTAATACAGTGACAAATAAATATTACAAGAGTATACTACTGTTGGAGACACCTTGTTCTGTGTTAACGTGTAGGTTAACCTCTATTTGACAGACGGCACAACAAAACTTGCCATGCATTTCTTCAACGCCATAGCTTCAAAGGGTAACAAAAGAAATGCCTGATATTGCCAGAATGCTGAACATGTAATGACTGTACCTGTGCGTGAGATTAAGAAATCACTCAGATCACAGAACACTGATCAAAAACAAGTGGACAAAGGAAGTAGCTCGGAAAAGTAAATGCCAATGAAAAAAAAATCTGGCAATTAACTTTGATACGCGCCTTACTTAAAGGTAAATACTCAAATGGTTTTCAACCAAATAAAGACTATTGTTTATCCACTCTTTGAGTGAACATTACTGACAGCATCCCCCAAAGGAAACTGTTCTCACAAACTCATTTCCAACATAATCAAAATTCTTGCATTTGCCATTCACGTATGAAAACTGGTATGCATATTTCTAGTAGTAAGAACAATTGGTGTGTTTAAGATTACAGTGACTCTGATTTATTTCACCCATTTACAGTTAATGTACACAGGTTTTTGGTACCACTTCAATTTTCTGTGACCTTTCAAATCCATTCATTCCTCATGGTAGGACCCACTTGTTCTATGTAAATCACATGGTGACATATACCATGGCGGGTACTTCTGAGAAGTATTTCTGACATTTACGGTTTTATCAAGGGTTTTGTTGAAGTTTTGTTTTCTGTTTTGTATTTTCTTTTTTCAGGTAAGCTCATTTACAGTTCATTTTTTTCACTGAAAGATTTTGGGGGGCTTATGAATGAAAAACTATGTAAAAACCATTTTATCTCTTAGTTTAGGATAAATTTTTTGAATAATTGGAAAGTTCATTTAATAAAACCAACTTCCTATGTTTACATTCTTCATGTGATAACAATTCCTTTAAATGCTTTCCTGATAATGCATTTACGCATGACACCTCTGAGAAATACACCAAAAAATGTTACTGTCACTTGCCAGAAATTTAGAATTTCATCAAATAAACGTTACAACGGGACTTCAACAAGGTTTTCAACAAGGTTCAGATAACAGGCGATTTTTTTCTTTGTCAAAAACTTGATCTTTTGTTTTTTCTCCATCCTATCCATTTGCTTAGCCTCCAAGTTCAATTGTTATGGGAAATATTGCACACCATGCAGCACAAACTGGCAAGAGCGATCTTCCTTATCTAGAGAACCATATGCACATATGTTGCACATCACCAAGTGATAGGAAACAAGGAAAACATTGTACGCATCCTTCAACAGATTTCGTGCACACTCCCCCAAGTGTAAACGGCAATGTACAAACTGGAAATGCATGAAACGGTAGTTGTTTACATCTTGCCCCCTTCGCAATGTGTGAAAGCAAACACATGATTACAAATTGGTAAGATGAGGTTCCGCTTCTTCGCAACTTTTAACCTCCCCCCATTAAAAATATACCACCAAATGAGATAACCTTTACATGCATTACCTTTGCTGCATTAAGCATGATAAAATGGTAAGTTTTAAAGCACTGTTTTACAGAGTTTAGGAAAAGAATGAAATCAGAAACATTCCTTCCACTTTGCAAAACTCATGAAAAAGAGACAATTCCTGACACATTCCTTACGTCTCCAAATAATTTAATGTCTCCTTAAGTTTGATCTGAATCCATATCTTTGTTCATGATTTCAATGTTTTTGTGGATTCAAGGAACACAAAGTAATTTCCTCGTTCTTTGCCTACAACAAGCTGACTTGCTTGAAATCACAACCAACAGAGATTGACAGCCAACAAATGTCTTAAAGGCCCTCCACTACTGACCACTCTCCCTTCCAGGTATTTAAGGTCAAACAACAATTCCTCTCTTCATATAGTTCACTAGATGAGTCCAGATGAACTCCTAGAGGCAGGGATGCCATTCATGGAAGGGCATACATCCAAATTCAACAAGTTCGGAGTTGTAATGCAGGTCTCCAACATGAAAGTGGCTTAATACTGTTTAACACACACATTTTGGAAGTGGACCAATATGATTAAACCCAGGTCATGAAATAGTCTGCCAAAAGTTTGTACAAAACAGACGTCTACATGTACATCTACATGTATCATCCTCTGGCAAGCTTTACTCAATACCACCTAAGTTAGCCCCAGTGAACAGACTGTAAACAAGATTCTTCACACTTCCATTAACAGGAAGAAGGCTAAACATAGCCTAACATGACATAATTCCCGCTGCTGATTGTCAATGCAATCTAGTATACACTGTGTTTCAATGGCAAAATGGGGCTGCTTTTATTAGTTTGAAGGACTGATGGAGAGAGCAGATACACCAAGTTAATGTTGAAAAACCTTCACAGTTGAAGATAGGATCCCTTGTCCAAAGTCTTCTTCCAGTTTGTGCGATTTGACCGAGTTGTTTCCACACAGCTTGGCAAACGATGGCATAACCAAACCAGCGTATGGCTTCTTTCCAGTTGGAAAGAGGAGTGTTCAGTGTGATCCCAGCTAATGTTAAAAGGGCAAACAGTCGACCTCATTACCAAGTTGTTCAGGGTGGAAACAGTGAGTGCTTCAAACCTAAACAAGAGGCAATCCCACTGAAGTTTTCCAAAATGTTTCAAATTTTCAGACATTCCCCAGACCCACTCCAGACAAGTCTCCAATCCTTGGGCATGGACCTTGAACATGCGCCACACTTGGACAACACACAAAAGCAGTCTTTGCTTTCAACACTGAGAAACAGACCCGTCCACCAAATGACAAGGAAAAACAATGCCCACTACCCATAACTCTGAGACAAAACATGCATACAACGGCAGGTGCAACCTTATACTTATCCAGACTTGTACTTTATGATACATACATCATTCGGGTATTACCACAAAAGAAGGAGAAACAAAAATAGTGAAGAAGACATGAGAAGACTGGGAAGATTTCAAGAAGTCATCTTGCAGATAGATGGTCAGGGTGATGTTGTGAGAGTGGGGGGCCAGGGGAGGTGGTCATTACAGGGTGCTGACTCTCTCCATGTGCCTTCCTGGACTGAGGTGAACCGGGGATTTACTCACTGGCTCGTGGTTGGGGCTTCGATTGGGGTTGTCAAAGTGGTCTCGCCGGTACTCCTCCCACCGCTCATCATCGCTTTCGTGAGTCAGGTAGCGATCGCCCACTTGGTTCTCCAGCTCCCTCAGGTCCAGCCACGTCTGATAGTCCTGTGTGACAAACAAGGTTAGGTTCGTCAATGAGGGTCAAGTATCACCAGAGCACACGTCTCCAAAGAATGTAACGCTCTTGAGTATTCCTGTCAGAGCACAAGCTTTACTGGTCCCTGCCAGGCGCAGTGGAGTGAATTTTGATTGTGGACTGAGCTTTTGAAATCGAGTCTTGAAGTGGGCTTTACTTGGAGTTATGAGATTGATGCATGAGCTTCAGAGGGTGTTCTGTGGCCTACTATTAAGACCACAGTTTTAACAGAATGTGCAAAGAAAACAACTCACTCATGTACCGGCAAAAAAATTTACAAATTTGCTGAACCAAAATCAGAAACGTGTCAGAAACATGTGCCGGACTGCAGTCCTTGCATGTAATTTTAAACGTCTGGTGAATTACCCCTGAGAACAAGTTAGCAACTAAAACGAGCCTTCTATAATCAGGTATGGCGACAGAAAAATCATATGGCTTTCATTTTATTAAAAAGTGAATTTCAAATAATTCTTTTATCAGATTTACCAAGGTGATATACAAGTGGTGAAAGCTTTAATTTTGGCGAGTGGCCTACCTGTAGCCAGGGGTGTGCTAACGACTTGTCAGCGGTATAACGCTTCCTGAGTTTGACCTGTAGCAGATTCCCAATCAGGTTGATAGCTGCAACAGAAAGCATTACCATGTAACAATCATACCTGCTATGCTAATGCGCGGAGCATGTCTGGCCAGAACCCGATTTTTTTTTCATGCTTGAACGATGCTGCTTGAATGATGCTGCTTGAACAAAACGCAGGACGTGACAAAAAATCTAAAATGAGTCTAAAGGAAATGTGTTTATCACATGCATTTAAAGGAGCATACACAGCTCTGTGTTATGATACATCACTTCATTGGAATCACGAGGAATATGAACAATGCATGAATGAGAGGCAGCACTAGAAATTCTCAGTGATTTCTCAAGTGTGGGGGAACCTCAGACCTTGTAACTAAACGGCAGTGCTTTTGATTACCCAATCTATTTGTTGTTGTTTTGTTTAAATGGCGCTTTCAGCGACTCAGGCTATTTGCTCCAATAACTGTACGTTCATTCGTACACTTTATTAATCAGCATCACATCACCGAGTCAGGAAGAAAGTCCAGTTTAAGAGGCAGGAGGAAACCGGAGTACCCGGAGAAAACCTGCGAGAGCGAGTATGGACTGGAAACCAAATGCACTTAAGGCCTGGGCCAAGCCGGGACTCGAACCCGGGCCTTATTGGTGCAAAGCGAGGAAAGAACGGCTACGCTAACCCGCTCCCCCACCCAATCTATTTGCCTGGGTGAATCCAATATAATACATTAGCCGCACTGTAAATTACCTGTGGTTAGTTATGTCTGGAGCTCAAAAAATATTACGTTTTGTAAAAGCCCTTTCCTTTTCATTAAGAGGCAGGTTCCTGGCAGCACAAATTTATTTAGACTCGGTCAAATGACGCACTGCCTTACCATCAGTTGAGATTTCGTTCCAGGGATTAGGTGGAAACATGAATGCTGCATTGTGAATTTGGTCAGTGATTTCCTCATCTTCATTGAAAGGGAAAGTCCCACTTAGACTGTTGAGGAAAGCATGAGAAAACACAAAAACTACATCAAGCAAGGGACTGACATACGGACATTCAAAGTCCGAGTTGTAATACAATGACTGCATGCTGTATTGCACAGATAATGAACAGCCATGGTTCCAAAGTCTGAAGTGGGCACGTCTCTCTTTATATACAGTTCTGAGCCCGTGTCTTGTTTGTACAATTTTCAAAATATCAATCAGAAAACATGAGGTCAGAAAACACAAAGCCCCCGTTTCCAGTCAGCAGGTACGTTATTAAAGACCCTGTGCATCTGCCTTTCTTTTATTGTCTTCGGAAATGAGATTTAAATACAACCAGCCTGAGACTAATCAATTACAATTCCACTGCTGTGTGTTTTAACCCCCCCTTCATGATCATTTGCATTTTGGAGCTAACCTTACAACAGAAACCAGTGACTAGCCCCTTCCAAATTTTGAGTGTTGTTACACATTACTCAAGTCCACGGGTTTACACACAAGGAGAAAATGCTACCACTCCCAAGCACTCGTTCCGTCCCTTTTCGAAATGCTTTTCCCTGTGACAATATTTCAGGAAGGGTAACAGTTACTGTTTTATCGAAAAGCTCCATTTTGGCTCTTATCTCAAAAAAAAAAAAAGACACGACAACACTTCCTGGTTCATCGAACCCCAATTCATTAAGAAATGTTTTACCTGACATAAATAATGACGCCAACAGACCACATGTCCAAGGATCGGTTATAGCCTTTACTGCGTAGCACCTCGGGGGCAAGATAGGCAGGGGTCCCAACCACTGAACGTCGGAAGGACTTCTCACCAATGATACGGGCAAAACCAAAGTCACAGAGCTTCACCTGAGGGCAAGTGAGCGGGAGAGAAATTTGTTTCATCAAAGGAAGGGATCAATCTGGCCTGAGCCTGGCCTGAGCCTGGCCTGGGTTGGATGCCAGCACTCAAAAACGGTTACCCATGGATGGAGTCAATGTCTGCCTAAGAGAAAAATTTTGGAAATACAGCATCACTGCAGTCTTTGATGTCACGACGACGGCTAACTTCATAAAGCAACAATGAAAACTTCAACGTGCACTCAGCCTTCATCAAGTTATAAAAATTAAGGGTACATTGGAAGCTAAAAAATCTTTTCCCCCATTTAAAAACTGATACAATAGCTCAAAGAAAAACACAGTCATGACAGAAAGCAAATGACTTTGCCAGAGGTCTGTTTTATTTCACTGTATTTGAAATTCAATTCAACTCCCACATTCCAAGACTGGATATGTAACAATGGTTATCTATCAAATTAGAAAAGCAGATTTGTGCTTTCTGCCCCGTGGAAGTTTACTCACCTGTGGAAAATCCCCCTCTGAGGAAAGAAGAACATTCTCTGGTTTGAGATCACAGTGGACAACGTTCTTGATGTGAAGGTATTTCAGGGCAATCAAAATCTAGCAGGTAAAAAAAGACAACTTAGTACTGACAATTAAAAAAAAAATCAATTCTCCTCCAAGTTACTGCCGGTAATCTATCTCTTCTCCTTTTTTTATGAGCAAATGTTCTGCCAAGTTTTGACAGACCTATGTAAGGAAGTTAGAGGTAATTTTCTCATTACAGGTATGAGCTACTGATAGGTATGCCACAGGCACCATTATCCATGATGTATGGCCCAGTTTGCTCATGAATGCCGTACACAGGAAACCAGGATAGTGCGGTTTTCTTCCAACATTTGACCATGGTTCAACTAAAGTTCATATCCGCACAAACATTAGAATACACGCACAGCACACAGTCATCAGAGTCAACAGCCTAACAAGGGCTGACTATCCTTTCTGGTTGTGCTGTAGCTTAAGACTTGCCCACTCAACACACCTGCGAGATTAAGAACTTGGTGACACGCTCATTGAGGCGACCATTGACGCTGGACAGGATCATCTCCAACATGTCGCCCTTCAGCTTTTCCATGACGACAAAGACGCGCTCGGTCGTCTCAAACATCTGTTCCAGGTTCACCACGCCATGATGCCGGACTTTCTGCGGGGGGGGGAAAAATGGTTGTGGAGAGGGGTGGGGAATGTTGGAAAGGGTAGGGATTGGGGTGGTAAAAGGGGAGGGGATTGGAGTGGCAAAAGGGGATAGGCAACCAGCATAACTGTACAACTCAACAATTTCTACCTGGTCCATGTCTTTTGCATGTCACATTTGACAAACATATGGGTCTCGTATCAGGGTTCTGCTTACTGTCAAAAATTTGCTAACCACAGCTTAAAAATGTGTTTAACAGAAAGCACATTTCACGGTTGTTGTGCTTGGCAAAATACTGTATGAGCGTGTATAGAGATTTCCATTGTTACATCACTAAATTAATTAAATTTTTCCTCTGATGTTAGCTGTGCTTACTACTTAAGGTCTTTACAAAATATGCGGAGCCTATATTGGGTAAAATCATGTGCTTAGCAGCACTGTGAAATTGGGCCCGGCTTATAGTGAGTTGCTCCAAAATTATCTTTGCATGTTGTTTTCCCACAAGGAGAATAGCCATAAACCAATCTTGGTTCCCTGACTTCCATGAGTTTCTTTCAGCTCCAGATGAAAGTGTCTGACACAGCTTCAGAGTTTCCTAAATGTCCACGCTGTAAATGGCTATCTTTAAATAATATCAGGACGAGACAATGGAAAAGAGTGACAATGCACTTTAACTTGTAAAACTTCATACTACCCTTGCATTATCAAATGTATCTGCCAATAAATGGCTTCTTTAGTAAACTAAACACCAAAGACTATGGTTCTAAATGGAACAGAATATTAATAGCTCCTGTTTTCTTTTCTTTTTTCATTTCAGTGACTGCTCCTAACATAAACTGAGCTCTGGATGATTTCCAGGTGTCCCTCTTTTTTGGAATGTCCAGGGATATTCTACTCACATGGAGAATGGACACTTCATTTTTGAGTTGTGTCTCTTGTTTTGTAGGGAAACGTAGCTTGTCAATCACTTTGATTGCAACCTGTCTCCCAGAGGTACGGTGCACACCTGTTGGATGAGGGTTTAGAAAGAAGAGAAAAGGGTTAATACGCTGACAAGACCATTCGTGACAAAAATTGCTCTCCATGTAAAGGCCTGTTCATACTGCAGGCCAACTTGAAAGCGAAGTGAACATAACGCCACAAAATATTTGCAGTGAAATCTGCTTGAGTTGAAATTTGAAGCACAAATATTTCATTCAAGAAAACGTTGTCACGTTCTTGTTAGTGTGGACAGGCCTCAAGTCATATTCATTTTCAGGTCATCTAACAACATCAGCATTGGGTGGAGAATTCCAATTTACAGTTCTGTGACAGATCCCAGCCTTTTCCTTACCTCCGTAAACTATTCCAAATTGTCCCGAGCCCAGGATCTCGTCCGGGAATATCTGGTAGTGCTGGCTGATGTCGTTCTTCTCCTGCCGCACCGTCTCGTCCAGGATCATGTGTTCACCATTCTCGTTAGCAGCACTAGAGCCTGCAACACAACCCATGGCCAGACAGACGGGTTCAAACCCACTTCTTAAATTGGCCATGTCTGGGCCAATCAGAGGGGACGGTGCTCAGCTTGTTCAAGGGCGCTGTGAGAATACTACCATTTGCTCAGTGCGTTATTGACTGAGGGCGCTGCTTGTGAATGCCATTCAATTTCAAACTGGCACGCTTCTCATGCAAACACTGTTTGTGACTGAACTAGGTAAGTGCTCTCATTGGCCATGTGGTGCCTGATGGACAACAATTACTTCAGTAATGCCTACCCCAGAAATGGCAAACGGCAAAAAAAAATGTTGCCCTGCTACTCCAGCTCAAAAGTTAAAAGTTGTCACCACAAATTGACTGCAACATGCAAGGGCTGGACAGCCACGACTGTAAAGCCACAATAAGCAATGCAGGAGCCAAGGCACAAAGGCACAGCGAAGCTGCTGGTGAAGCCATTACTAAACCAGCCATTAAGCTAGCCGGACAGGTAAAAAGTAGTCAGTTGGTTAGCCACATAGAATAGCCACAAGTTAGTCCGAGAGCTGAGGTAACCTAACGGCTGTCTTTCACAACCAAACTGGCCACCATGGTATCCTTGCCTACCAAAACAAGTCCACAGTGGAAAACAGCTAGTTGTCCTCCACTGCTGTTCCCATGAATCCCTTGATTCCACTTTCCACAGCCATATTGTTTGGAAAGCCATTTTTAAACCAGTCTAAATGAGTTAGAAAACCAGTCTCTTAGTTATGACATTTAGCCCTTTAGCACCCAGTATTGCAGTCGAGACCATCACAAGACCAGGCACAAGACCATGCCCAAGAACAGTCTATTCACAACTAGCAGGGTGAACAATGACAAAAGAATGCCTTTGTTGCAGTTCACTTGAATAGCCGGTGACTTGAATTCAGACCGGAGGTCTTGTGATGGTCTTGTGAAAGTCGAAAGCGGTCTCGACTACAACACTGTTAGCGCCCAATGTACATTCTGACACAATCCATACGTAGAAATCAAAGATGTCCTAGAAGAAATCATAAAAACTTCATTCATCATCAAATGCTGCGTAAATTTCCCTAATCTTTGGCACAAGACCTTCGAATGTCAAATCTGTATTTTGAAAGTATCTGTAGAGTTAAATTTATCACCATGAGAGTGTCCAGCCAACCACTATGTACATGCATCAGGGAAATTCAATTTTTCAGCTCATCTGAAATCTGATTCTGAAAAAAAAAAGATTCCACATACTTTTTAAAAGAGAAGAAAACTTTCTGATTCCTCAAGAAAAGCCACAATCAATGCCCTCCTTTTGTGTGTACACGTTCTTCGTGCCGTTGTTGGTGCATAGGAATTTGGTTAATGTGCTACAGGTATTGGCAAATTGAGAGAGTGTATACATGAACGACAAAGCCTCCAAATCCCAGGTTACAAATAGATATTCTGAATGTTTCCACCACCAAGACTTAAGAGGTCCACGCTTTGGACATGAGGAACAACTGACAGGTGCATAACTGAAACACTGTGCCACTTGGATTAATGTTTAAAATGCCTCAGTAAACACAGACTTCATTTCATACAAAATACAACAAAAAACACCCCCCCTCAAAAAAAAAAACCAGAAATCATAACACAAAAGAAAAAATCAAATAGAGGAAGAAAACTCATGTTAAATTCACAGGTCTGTATCAGCCTTGATGGTTCAGTTAATCGAGGAAGAAAAATTATCAATGTCAACATTTATGCACTGATGTAATACACACTCTACCACAGAATCTGAAAGGACGCAGAAATTAAGTCCAATCTCTAAATGAAGCAGCTAGTTCTACCATAGTGCTACCACCAACTATGGCCACATACTGGTGAACAGACTTTTCTGAAGTTGTAAGGAAAAAAAGGATTGTAAATGTGCACACCAGACTAAACCTAAAAGGATGTGTACTAAAACTCACACAAATAAGAGCCATTCACTACATTTAATCATCTTTGTACGCTGGTTACAAAAAAAGAAGCCAGTCACGAATGAGACAGTTCAGTATTTCATAAGCATAATGTCATTCGAGAACAAAAGACAAGCATAAAAACGTGTGGCCGCACACATATTTTTAGGCATGTGCTGTTGGAATACGGAACTGGATCATTTATTGACGGGTTTGTAGCACTGACTGGATCATCAAATACCTCGGGAGTGGACTACTTGGATTTTTCCATCTGTTAAGGGAGACCTTCAATCCTTCCTCAGGATTTGAAGTGATGTGTGACGATGGGAACAAAAAAATCTCCAGGAAATCTGATCATTTTGAAAATCAAAAACTTTCCCCCCAAAAGCAGATTTCATGCTTGAGACAACCAACTGCTCATCATGTTCACAGTTTGTTTTTTATTTAAAAAAAAAAACAAAAAATTCACCACTTCACAAGATGCCGTGGTTCTAATGTACTGAGATGTTTGATTCTAATCAACATTCTCTAGTGAATACGTTAGCACCTCAGCTTGAAGTTGATTGCCGTTAGCAGAGACAGGCGCTGCCAAAGCTTGGTACTCAACAATGCTACGGTGCAGCCACATCATGCATGAAAACACTGTCTCAACTGAACTTTGAAAACATGTTATTATGCAAACGATGTCAGTTCTGGATGGATGTCAGACGGGTGGTTGGAATTTTCTGTTTTCCTGGGGAAGTTCCAAAGTGCAAGTCAAAAACTGGCGAAGGAAGCCTGCCATGATTAAAGCTCAATGTAGTGTGCTTATACCATTTCATGATAATATGTCTGGTCTCATTATGTTTAGTTTCGCTATGCCTAGAGCTGGACGTAGGTCTTACAGTGTGGCACCATGCTGACAACAGGTGTAATTCTGGAAGCCCTTTGGGGCTTTGTCGTTTCCTACATTGAAGTCTCAATGAAGTCTCAATGTGAAGTAACGCTTGGCCATGGAAAGTTCAGTTGAGACAGGGGATGTACATGTACATCTAAACAAGGGGCAGGTCCAGAAATGCAAACCCAGGAAGTGCAAACCTAAAGCACACATTCAGTGGCACTGCAGAATCTGTTTAGGGGAGTGTGTGAATGGTTTCCCAGAGCTGAGTGAGGGGTATTCCTGTCACATGAGCTTAGTTTAAATGCTTGATTTTTTATCAGTGTTGTATTCGAGTCCATCACAAGTCCCTTCACAAGTCCAGTCCCAAGTCCAGTCACAAGTCCCCTCAAAAGGCCAGTTATAAGTAACAGGGCCAACAATGACAAAAGAATGCTTTTGTCAAAGCTCATTTGAATAGCCTGTCAATTGAATTAAGACTGAATGACTTGTGATGGACTCGAATACAACACCGATAAAAATCAAGCATTTTGGGTGAACAAGGGTGCATACAATTTGGAAAATAAATGTGATTGTCATTTCACTGCCAGACCACCCAAGGACAACAACTATTGGTGACTCAGCTGGCTGAGTTCCAAAATTCTCACAATTGAGAAGAAGGTTCTTGCAAATAGCACTGGGTTCACACACTGTAGGTTGGGTACCGGCACATTCCTGGACCTGCCCCTATTGACAATAACACCAGTGAGATTTGCTGCTAGTTTGACATCCTACAAGTACTTCTGTCTACGTTTGTGCTTGGTTTCCCACATACACACGGGCCAATGTCACAGAGTCAGAACCTGCTTATCACCAAGCAATATGCCGAGTAAATACTAGAGTTTTTGATGGTCCAAGTAAGTAATTAGTTCCCAATTATAGGGAAACAGGTTGACTGGAATGAAAATTTCAGAATTAAATGCACCAGTTTCTGACATGCAGTATAACATTCATAATTAATATGTACTAGTATAAATGAGATTCACTGACACAAATTCGTACTTATTTAACAATGTCCACAGTTTCTTCCACCATTTTTGTTGTGATCCATTATTGATTATGCATGTGATTATTTCATTGAAGAAGTTTGAATCTGGTACACTTTGAGACTTCCTCTATAGTGACTGTCAAGAGAACAATGATAGGTTGGTTAGAATCGGCCATTAGTTTAAGATAAGTGGTGAACAAAAATTCCCAGACTACTGCATCTCGGAAAAACATGTTAATGACCAAAGAACGGTTTAATAGCTTCACATTAGAATGGTTTAGTCGGTCCACTAAAAGCTACAGTGGTGTTAATCTTCTACTGTTAATCACATGGTGATGAGGCTGTTATGAAGATTTGTGGAAGTGGAGAGAGATACTGGAAGAGAACTGTAGGTATAAGAGTGTTTCTGACTTTGTTAGTTGGCTAGTGAGAGGGACGGGGACGGGTGAAAGTGGCAAGGTGGGGAGAAGAGGATAGAGTATGTACCAACTGTTGTACTGCTTCCTTGACTGGTCCGTTTTGGGGGCGTGTACCCCTTCTCGCGGTACTTCTCTATGGGCTTGGTGGCTGACCCCGCCCGCTTGGGCAGGGTCACCTGGCTGGCCGAGCCCGGCGACTCCTCGGGCGGGGAGAGCTGACAGACCACGTGGCGGAGGCAGGGGGCCGGGCTGTGGCTGGGACCGACGCCCGGCGTGTAAGACACATTGTGAGGAATGGAGGAGGAGGTGGTGTTGGTGGAGGAAGAAGAGGCGTGGTGGTTTTGGCGGGCGTGGCACACTGCTGACCGGCTATTACATTCGGCTGAGGAGACTTCTACTGTGGCAGGTGTGTCATCCATAGAAGGACAGGATATTGGAGGAGGGGAGAAGTAAAAGTGTGGATTCATGTATATCATAAGGCACATAAGGTCCTCTGATGTTCAACTGACAAAGTCTGACTCCACTCACCTCCTGATACTTAATGCCTACCTCTCCTTGACTAACCTCTCAGTTTCGGACTTGCACTCTTCTTATCAAAAGCACAGACAGCAAGTAAAATCCTCTTTACACACTCTGAATCGTCCTACTTTCTCTTCAAGACAAAAGAAAATCTCTTGCCCCAGAAGAAATGATTCTTCCATCCTTTTCCGAGGTCAAAGGTCACACTTGCATCACCTTTACTAGTCCTTACAAGTATTTAAGGTTCTTTTCATACTTGCTTTCCCATTTTCATGATACTGATGCTGAATGCTGATTGGCTGTGTCTTAAGAAACAAAAACCAAATACTGAATTCGGTTAGGGGAAAAAGGAATCCGGCCCGAGTAATTAGAACACCAAAACAATTCTGACTAATCTGCCCCGAGCTGAAGTGCACCTCCCACCGGCAAAAGAGAGACAGCTGGTTACAACCGGGTTCTTGCACGCGTTCTGTGTGCACGCAGGGAGCATACATTAGGGAACAAATTCTTTACAAATACTCAGCGTGCTCCACTTCAAACGCGCCATTGATCTCCATTATAAACACGCACCTACGCGGTGAGTACCAAAAAACAAGCCCTCTTTTGTTCCGCTCGGAGAAGATAGCTCACTACAGCGAAAATCTTCAACAAGCTGCAAAGCTAACAAAATGCATACGTCATGAATTGATTTGCAGAAAGAAGGGAAAAACACAAGCCAGTCCTCTGTGCTAAGCATTAAAAATTTGCAAACTAAAATGAAGTCTCATTTGTACTATAATCCTACAAGCAAAAAAGATGGTCTCATTTCTTGAAATGAGTACGCCATTTGTTATTCACTGAAATGCTTCCAAAGTTTCATCGGTCAGAGGTGAACAAATCAAACAGTTGGCTGGAAAGGGAAATTCCTGACTATTTGAAAGATTTTGAAGTTGTCCATATGCTCAGAATGGAATGGCCAATGAATGAGGCTCATGCCCATTTCCAGAGAGTTCTAGAAAGAGGCTGAATAATCACTTCATCAGTTGAAACTATGCCAAATCTGTAACAACTTCACATTTGACCTCTCCACGATGACAAACGGGAATAAGATGGAGCTGGTCTCGAAAAATAAACCAGTTCGTGGATATAAAAAATGCTAGTCAGTAGGTGTCGGAAGTTGGGACTAGTGGAATTGCAAGTAACATTCGATACCGTCTACTCTAACAAGATTGAAACTATACTTGTATATAGCTCAGAGGAAAATAACATAGTTATATGGAATAAATCTTTACAACCAAGGCTCACATTAACCACTGAAGTCACTCAAAAGGATCTTCAATGATGGCCCCCAATCTTTTGTGTATGCATATGAGATACCATACAGAATGCGGATCAGCCCGGACAAAAAGGCCTTAGTGGAAACTTGGTGGGTGTGAAGAAGGGATCTGTCTTGAGGACGGGGGGACTTACTGGGACTGGAGCTGCTGGTGACGCTGGTGGTGCTCTGCTGAGGCGTGACGGGCATCAGCGCTTGGCGGATCTTCTTCTCCCAGACCCGGGCCACCTCTATGCCGATGCCACTCTCCGACGGTGACTCCTCCCCGTCCACCGTCAGGGTGGCCATGGCGACCTCCTTCTTCTCTCCGACGAAGTAGATGGTGCGCGCCGTCTTGATCTCAAAGCAGTGGCTGGACTTGTCGTCATCACTGGAGACGGTCTTCACGGCCAGGATCTCAGATAGCGGGATTTCCTAACGCATCATTTCAGAAATATAGATCAATTTAGTCTTTAGGACTGCAAGACGTCGTTTTACCAACTCTGATGATTTAGGTGACATTTTAAATAAACTACGGTTTATCTACTCACAGCAATAATTGTAGTATAATAGATTCCCTGCTCTTCACTCTACTCTTTTATGCTATATATATGTGTATTCTTTTACTTTCAATATGAGGAAGATGAACTTCCCTTCAATGCTACTGCATAAATATACACTGACGAATTCAATGTACTTGGAAATGAAATAGAATGCTATACACCAGAATGCTGTAACTTGGATAATAATCCTATACACCAGTGTATAAGTACTTTTCAAATACCAACTTCCCTGTCAAATATTGAATTGATTAGGTGTGAACACAGCTGGAGAACACAGACACTGGATGGCAGGTGCATAAAGGTAACATTACAACGTGTATTGAGACTTCCAGCCATTACAGTTTTGTAAAAACTAAGGTATTGGGACAATTGACAGTGAGAAGTCTTGATGCTTCGCTGTCATCTTACCTTTGTGCATTTACCATCCAAAGTCAATATTTTCCGGCTTTACAGACACCTAACCAGTTCAGTACTTACTTGGCCGTAAGCCTCTTCATACTCGAGTGCTCACCTGAAATGCCCGTACATCTTGCTTATAAACATATTGTACAGTCAGAGAGTCAGTGAGCTTTTATGAAAGTCCTGTGTAGGTATATGCAGTGCGTCTTACATGCAGGTAAGCTTGTTTACACCATGAAAAAATATAAGATCTATTCAATGGTTGACATCAGTCATGTCAGTACCACTAAAGAGACAACATACGGTACTGTACATACTCTGTATTGTGTACATAAGGCAGCATTGTTTTTCCAGACCAACTGTGTCTTCATGTTTGCAATTCATCCCGAGAAAATATTGATAACTTGGTCAGCTTTGACTGTTTGAGAAGTTTAGTTGGCTAGAATGGATCCCAGGCCTTATTCTCACCTTGTAGTACCGCGTGCTGCTGTCGCTCTGATACAATGTGATGGACTTGGTGTCTATCCTCCAAAAGTGACGCTTACGCTGAGCACAAACAGGCCAAAAACAGACATGACCATAAGATAACAATTAACTACCTTGCATCGTTAACAGTTGTCTGTTACCGAAAAAAATGCCAGTGGTTCATAAATTGGTTGGCAATGCCATACCTCAGTCCATCACAAGACCCTGCCAGTCAACTGCAAGTCATTCAGTATTAGGCCAAGTTACAAGGAACTGATATGAACTGTGACAAAGGCAAATTTGTTTTTTGGACTTGTGACAGGATTCAACTACAATGCTGGCGGTCCGTAATCTCGAGGAATCCAATAAAGGTGTCGTGACGCTTTCGGTTTGTTCCCAAGTACTTGAGGAAACTTTCAGAAGTCAACATCCGTCTCAAACCATACAACATGTTTTTTCCTCTGGTTCTAATTTATACTCATTCGTCATTAGAACCAAATTCTACAATTTCACCAGTCCGGAGTGCTATACTTCAACAATGACCACTATGGGCTGAGACAGCCCTATTGGATGGATCTGCTTGCCAAGTATACAATCAAATATAGCAATGAATGCTACTTTAATAGTCAGCACATTTCAAAAGCTGAAGAAGAATTTTGGGGTCCGTGTAGGCATAAGGGGATAGCTAAGGATTTGTGCGAACAGTAAGCATAAAATGATAGTCTTAAATGCAAGATTTTGTGAATAGGAGAACCATGAATGTATCGGTGTACTAAACAAAAATATGGGTTCAACTTGAGGAATGAAAATGTGCATTATTTTGGGTTGTATGTTTGCTGCCCCCACTGGCGTTGAGGAAACAATTTCTGATGTTGGGACATTTGGAACTGAGTTGTGGAAATGGACAATTTGTCCCATTACAAATCCGTTGCTGTAATAACTATCATTCAACAAGTGTGTAGTCCCCGGGGTAAGTATGAGTGTGTAAACGCCTTAAATCGTGGACCTATAACAATAGGGGACAATAGGTCCACCGTTGCCGAAGAGTCCACGGTTGGAAAACATGTACAAAACATATGAGAGGTCTTCTGAAAAAGTTCAAGTATGAACAAAAGAGGAACGATAGGGAGTCCACGATTGAAGGCGTTTACGCACTTGGGTGTGTGTTCAAGAGCATAATGCACACAACTTTAGCACATAATTGACTAAATGGGTAATTCCACAAATTAGGGGTCCAAAAGTGTGACATTTTTGTGTCCCTGTTACATCTGACCTTTTTTATTTGGCATGGAAATATCACCAGAATTGATTTCAAACTATTACTATTTGTGTGGCAGGTAATTTGCATTAATTCCTCACTCTCGGAAATTAGAAAATGTGTTCTGAACTTACAAAATCATATGTCAGATGTGATAGGGACACGAAAAAAACATGGACCCCTAAGTTCTGGGATTACCCAAATACTAATAAAGCACATCACATACTGATTGACCTGCAACTTAAATTTGAGACTTAGATGCACCATCACTATCAAGATAATGTCCTAACTTGGGCTTGTTAGGTTTTTACACTTGATCAGAGCATTTACTGCTGGAATCAAGAGAGAATTCCCTAACCATTGGCCTCACAATAATTTGATATCCACAATATGAAAAATGGAACTACACAGAGCCAGAAAATCTTCACTCGGAAGACAAATGAATACAAAGCTTAGATTTGGAAAAACAACTCAGATACTTTTGCAGGTAGTCTGCAAGACATTTTTGCCAGTGCTTGCAAGTTTACTCCTTGAAGGAAAAAGAGATGGCATCTTTTTGTTTTATACAGGAACGGTGTCCCCTATGGTGAGATGCAATGAGCACACACGACCGATTTTATTCAAAATTTTTGGTCACAGCATTGGCATTATAAGCCAGTTGCAACTTTCTCCCCTGCTAGTCTATTCTAGTCTATCGTTGGATACGACAGCTCTTACCATGCTGTCTTTGTCGGTGCAGTGTACCATCCAGCCTTCCTTCAACACCTGGGAGCTTCTCCTCTTGGTGTGCTTGACAGACTGCACGATTCGCATCAACGGAATGTTGTTACTCTGAACGGGGCTGGTAAGACAGACAAAGAAGAACCGTGAATCCAACAGGCTTGAGATGTGATGTTCAACAGCGGGAGAGAACTGTGAAAATGTGAACTTCTGTACCATGGAACATTGTTGTCATTTGCTAGAAACAGTACTTATCAATAAAATGTGGTAATTGTCAAACCAAAGCAAATTGAGATGGTTCGCTGCATCAGATGTGGAAGGAAACCTGCAAACTGTTTGCCGCTTTGAAGCCTTCATATCACCACTGAAGCCAAACACAGGTGTGACCAGCAGCCCGTCTGAACGGCTTCATCAGAAGATGAAGGAAATTACATATGAAAATGTACACTTTCAACCACAACTTTCAAAATAGAGAAAAGCAAATCAACTGATTTTCATACAACACAGTTTTAAGAAATATGGAACAGCAATGAGCGAAAAGTATGAAGGCAGGGATATAAGGCCAAGGACACAGGAGAAGGAGAGCTAGGGATGTAAGAGTATAGGAAAAATTGGTAGGACATGCAGAGAACTCAGAGGAAAGTGAGGTGTGAAGAGAAAGGGCTCTGAAGGAGGAAAGAAGGGCTGTGAAAGTGAAAGTAGAAAATGACGAGATGTGCTAAGAAGATTCATCACCTTTAAGAAATGACAATGGGGATAAATCAGACAGATTAGCCTTTCTGTTTGTGAATGTTGAGGCTGCCATGGTCACATCCTCCGAAGACAAAACATCCGCAGATTCCAAATGCAAAGCTAAACCTACTCATTCTGCTCTTGAAGTGCTTCTACATCTCTTAAAATCCACAGGAGAGAATGGTTATGTATATGTAAGTTGTCAAAAGAAATGCAAACGATAAGCGACAACCGATCTTTCTTGAGGGTACTGCACAACACTGTGTGCTGTATGACATCAGCTACTTCTCAAGTGATTCTGCCAACCATTTTTGTGGCTGGCCTCAGATCTCCTGTCACAGGAAGAAACCCCAGATGTGGTTTGGCAAGCGGCACAACAACAGCTGAGCGTAAAATGTTCCGTCCTGGTAGGACAGAACCCACAGCCCAAATAATCAATCACTTGACGTGAACCTGACGGTCCTGTGGAAGGATATGACGTGGTTAATGGAAGTATCCACTATGTGCTGTCATCGCAGGCCCTGCTGAAAAATCATATTGTCAAATTATCTTCATAAGACAACCAAATTAACGGCAGGCATGTACACTCAAAGGTGACCTTGATGCGACAACCAAAGCAGGCAAGACCTGTAATAAACACGCACCCACAATTATACTGTGTTTCTAAAGACACCGTTTACCCAGGGAGGAAAACTAGTCGTTTGTCAGTAAGTGTACAGTCTCATTAAAAAAAGGCTGAGTCGGGAGTACTTGGCTACGGCTAGCAATAACCGTGTCTATGGGTAATAGCCACAGCCGCTAGCCCTCAGCTTCCATAGGCAAGTACGTAATTATCAGCCAAGTAATTTGGGCAAAGGCTTAAAAGTACTCACAGGAATTTTCAGGTGTCATAGTTTGGCCAGGACTGAGGAACAAACTTGATTCTCTTCCTTATGGGGGGGGAGAGATACTGGCATCCAATTTATGAACAGAAACCATGCCTCTTTTTCAACCACTTAAAGAGGGCATTAATCCTCAACTGGTGCAGGATTTGAAGGTGCATGGCACAACCTGGTATACCATACACATATCATATGCATATCCAAGGGTGTACAAAACATCTTGGATGAGGGATCCTAACATGGGATATGGTTACAGGACCCAAAGGTGTGTGACAACTTGGAGTACCCTAGATGTAGGGTTTGAAGGTGTATAAACACATCCAAGGTGCAGGTAAGGGATCCTTAAGTGACCAACCAAAGTATATAATGGCTATAGGACATACAGGTGTGTGAAACAAGAATATCCTAGGTGCAAGATCTGAGGTTGTGTGGCTCAACCTAAATATCCTAGGTGCAGGAACTGAAGGAGTGTCACATAACAACCAGGGTCAAAGATTTAGAGGTAACCTAACCTGGGACTTCTAAAGTGACAATTCAGGAGAGAGGACAGTAATGGACCAACCTGAGTGGGTTATCTGGGCCTGGGGGACTACTATCAGCCTCTGGTCCAACATCCTCATCTTGGGTGTCTCCTAGGCTGTCCCGATTGGTTGAGGTGTCGTTCTCTTCCGTTTCGTTCTCGTCGCTCTCGTTCAGCTTCTCTTGGTCTTCACTCTCTCCTGAGAACACAGGGGAATCTATTTGTCTCAATTATGAGGCCATTTGCATCCAGTAACAAGTGTGTCTGGCTGGCTGCAGGACAGGCCTGGATTCCAGGGCAGTGTTGTAGTCAAGTCCATTACAAGTCCACTCATAAATCCAGGGATGAGATTCTCAGAAAACAAAAAAAGCTGAAATTTGCGAGCGCGCAGCACGAAGCCCTTTACGGCATGCAGGCCCCAGGAAAATTTTCAACTTTAGATGCTCTGTGGTGCAATCTAATGCTTAGCCCCTCTGGGACACATTTTACAATAGAAACATTTGTGAAAGACCATACTCTGAAAAACCTAGCCTAACCTTTTTATTATTTGTTAACTTGATATGTGTTATACATGTTAACCCCTTCGTGCCGGGCAGTGGCTATAGCCGCCGTAAAAATTGAGATCCTCAGCCCGCTTTTTAGCTATTATTCTCGGCCCACGCTCGAGCGAACACAGTGAAAGAAGGCAGACCCTGCCTCTTGTATATATGGTGATTGGCCTTTGTGTGTTGCCAAGAAATGAAAAGACCGATTTTGCATCATAATCACCAGCTTCACAAAAGTCCCCACTTTGAAAAGAGGCAACGGGAATGTGGAAGGGTGAGTAGAGCCACATGCCACCGAACAATTAGCCTTTTCACCGTGTAATTCAAAGCGTGCAGAGCACGCAGGGCCACAAACCGAGAATCAGTGTTGTAGTCGAGTACTTTCCGAGTACCAACGTTCTCCGCAAAATACTACACTGGGTAAGAGGGAATAAAGCCAGAGTGCACAGGCATTTGATGGTAAATGTGCAAAGGTAAGATTACAAAATAAATGTTAGACTTCAGACACTCCCAGTTGTGTAAAATTTAAGTTTTAAGGAGAAAAGTAAAAAAGTTAATTTTAATCAAACAATGAAGATCTGAAGTCATTATGTTGCTTTTTAATCTTACCTTTGTGCATGTACCATCAAATGCCGATGTACTTCAGCTTTGTTCCCTCCTAACTAGTTAAATATTTGGTAGAGAACTTGGTTCTCAAAAAGTACTCGACTACATCACTGCCGAGAATTTGCGGTTTGGCAGGTGGCCTTTGTGAGCGAGGCTGGAATTCTTGGAGTCAGCTTTCGGGAAGAAATTTCCATCGTCAAGGGGTTAAGACCCACCACATAGTTTTGTTCATCACTATGGTTTGTCATGCTTCAAAATACATGTCGATTGCGTACATGAATACATAGATGATAAGTCGTTTTCTGTGTCTTGAATTTTCTGTTGTATTTCAACGAAGCGTAATTAATTTCTAAAGTTGCATCGCACCACCGGCTTACCAGGTTTTTCCGATTTCCAAATAAATTTGGACAAGAACACTCCTTTAATTTTGGCCTCAACCTAGT